TTTGGGTCTGGATTTGGGTCTGGATCTGGGTCTGGATTTGGGTCTGGGTCTGGATTTGGATTTGGGTCTGGGTCTGGATTTTGGGTCTGGATCTGGGTCTGGATTTGGATCTGGGTCTGGATTTGGATCTGGATTTGGGTCTGGATCTGGGTCTGGATTTGGATCTGGATCTGGATTTGGATTTGGATTTGGGTCTGGGTCTGGATTTGGATCTGGGTCTGAGACTGATTTGGGTCTGTTCTTGTTCTAGGTCTGCTTTAGGTTGTCCGGGTTTGTTCTAGATATGTTCTAGTCTGGGTTTGGATCTGGATTTGGATTTGGGTCTTCTTCTGGGTCTTCTTCTGGAGTTAGGTCTGGTTTTGGATTTGGATTTGAGTCTGGATTTGGGTCTGTTCTTGTTCTAGGTCTGCTTTAGTCCGGGTTTGTTCTAGGTGTGTTCTAGGTCGTGTGGGTTGTTCTAGTCTGGATTTGGGTCTGGATTTAGGTCTGGGTCTGAGACTGATTTGGGTCTGTTCTTGTTCTAGGTCGTGTGGGTTGTTCTAGTCTGGGTTTGGATTTGGGTCTTCTTCTGGGTCTTCTTCTGGATTTGAGTCTGGGTCTTGATCTGAATTTGGGTCTTCTTCTGGATTTAGGTTGTCCGGGTTTGTTCTAGGATTGTGTGTAGGGTTAGGGTTCCTTCACTCTGTTGCAAAACAAAGACAGGGCCTCTACAAGACGGTATAACAGCTGGGAGTGGCTGATCTGCAGGAGTGTGCCCTAAATCCTAACCCTCGGACGAAGCGGGGGAGATCATCGTGAGAGTTCTTAAATCCTAACGCTCTAATCTTACACAAACACACACAACCCTAAACCCTACACACACACACACACACACACAACCCTAAATCCTAACCCTCGGACGAAGCAGGGGAGATCATCGTGAGAGTTCTCAAATCCTAAACCGTAACCCTACACAAACACACACAACCCTAAACCCTTCACCCTTAATCCCAAACCCTAACCCCAACAGGACACATGATGTACATTTGACCATGAAGGTCACACTCACCTTTTTTGCTGCCTGTAGTAGAGCAGATGCTTCCTGTTTACCAGTCTGCTGCACCGTCTTGTAAAAGATGCCGTCTGGATCTTGAAGGAGGGTGAAAGGCTCATCAAAGGCATGGATCCTCCCTGCGTCTAGAACCTGGACACACATTTGTCCTTTTTAATTATTGACTCATGCATTCATTTTAACTCTGTGTATATATGTGTGTATATACACACTACTGACATTCACTGCAAATATCTAATCAAAGCGACGATGCATCATAAATGTGATTGAGCTTCTCCGCTGGGAATTCACCACCGCCGCCACCACCACAACAACATGACTCAACATCCAGCCACAGGTGCTTTTCATAACAACAAAAAAACACTTTGTGTGCCTCTATTACTCTTATCTTGTCAAACATGTATCTGCTTTAACTTTGAAGCTACAGTCGGGATGTGGTTACTCTAAACAATTTCAACTACGTCAGTGACTCCGGGTGGAGCTGCATGCTGGACAGGTTTCCGGAAGAACAGCGGTGTCACAGCTTCACAGCTGCTCAGTCGCTCCACTGAGCTGCTTGTTCACCCACAATAGTTTGAATGTGTCACTCCCACTGATGCCACAACTTTCCCTACACGCAACAAAGATGAAACATGTTGATAACCGTCCCTCACCAGCTGATTCCTCTTAGCTAAAGTGTAAAAACTCCTCATGTACAAAGACATAAAAACAACATATACTCTGACAGTTTTCACAGCATGTAAAAGCAAAACATTCAATGTCTGATAAATAACTTTCTAGGACTTACCAAACTATAGATACCACATGTATTTCTACTAATGTCACACACTTCCAACCAGGTCAACCTGTTACACTGACTGCAGCTGTGTGAACACAGTCACGTCTCAGCATGGCGTCTCTGGGAAACACCGTGTGCGGTTGTGGACATTAAATCTGAATCACATGAGCTCCAAACAATAACCCGCAGAGGAGAGGACTCACCAGTATCCAGTCACTGTCTATGATGGTGTTGAGGCGATGAGCGCCGTGCATTCTCCAAACTTGTCCCAGATGGTTCGCTGGATCAGCTCGTCTGTCCTGCGCACACACAGTAAAACCCATAATACCTATGCGCGCATATCTATGAGTAGAACAAAACATAACAGTCACATACAGTCACAACACAGACAGTCAAGGAGACTTATGCTATGCAATGGTTTATTTTGATCAGTCCCCACCCCTCTTGCCGACTACTGCATAACAGCAACACATTGATTAGATTTTGTGTTTAATGTGTCAATGCAGAGTTTCATTGTTAAACATGTTTACTATGTGTAAAGTATATTTTGTTTTTCCAAAGTACCATTCTAGCTTAGTTCCAATCGTTTGTGGTTGTTCAGTAGTGGCAAGTTGACAGATACAGTTTTGTATGTGAACATATTTAAACTGTCATGCAGTAACAAGTTGGTTTAAATTTTGCCAGAAAGAAATACAACACAACAGTCTTGATAAAGTAGTTGTTGTTATGTAGCAGGCTACTACATTGACATAAGACTAGTGAAATGCTGGTGTTTGTTAGTGCAGGTTTTTGAGCGAATGATGCCACACTTGTCCTTTGATTGTACTAGTCAAATTTGAAGGAGCAGGGACCTTAGGTAGCCGAAGAATAGTTATAGAAAGAAGACTGTAGATGAGAGTTGAAGTTGAGTTATGGTTGACTTGGCAGTTGTTAATCCATGAAGCAGATATATGATAGTAAATAATGTTTGTGGAAGGAGCATGTGAGTAGTGTAGTAGTTAAATGTAGAAGGCTGCTACATAAGAATAAGTAGTTGAGTAGGAGTATTCTGTTGTTTAAAGCAGCTTGTTCCTGCATGTCATTTGAATGATTATTATTATTATTATTATTATTTATTATCATATATCATAGATTTACAAGTGCCAAGTCAAGGATAACTCAAGTTCAAGTCTAATCTAAACCTACTTCTTACTGCATGACATTTTAAATTTCTTCAAACACAAGTGTATCTTTCAAGTTCCCACTACTGAAGAATCACAAACAGGTGTAACTAAGCTAGAATAGTGCTTTAGTTGAAGCATGAATTTTCTTTAGCAAAGAATAGAATGTACTTTACACATATAAATACCATGTTAACAGTGAAAATCTGCCCAGATGTGGCGTTCGGTCCAGTCAGTTGGAGGTGGAAGGGCTGACTGCCAAAGAGGAAGTGGAGGGTTCCAGCTGCATTTATAGAGAAGAGGATTAGTGGTAGGATCTTTTAGAGTTTTTGCTGACTTGAATAAAAATGAAGACTATTGTGTGATGAGTTTTTGTAATTGAATGTAATTTCAAATTTAACAGCAGAAGAATATAAATATATATATGGAGTGTAAATGTAGGATTGATTGCAGATGAATTGATATGAAGTTTGTAAAAAATGTCACCTACGTGATGTGTTGTCCAGGCGGTCCAGAGGGTCCAGACAGTTGAGCAAAGGTGACAGGACAGGAGGTGGTCAGAGCTGAGGCCTGCTGATTGAGCCATGATCCTTGTGTGAAAAATGAAGATGGATAGAAGGGTTACATATGACACTCCTATGATGATGTCTATAATGTGAAATTACAGGTGGTGGTTTGTATGTTTTTTAGGGCGTGAGCACCTTGTTTGTGTAAGAGTAAAATATGTGAAGATAAAAGAAATCCTCTTACTGCTCTGCAGACAGTCATCCAGCTCCTCCTGCTTTCATGGTCCTGACGCAGTTGAGTGTGATGTTCAGAGAGGGCCATCTCCAACTGTAAGAAGAAATACATCAAAAATAGTGAAAACACTCATCTTGACTGTTTTGTTGTGGTAGAAATGTTTGAGCTGCAGTGATATATGTAAGAAATGACACTACCGCTATTTTATATTCAGAAAATTATATTATATAATCACATACTACAAATGTTTGTACTAAATAGGGTAGAGAACAGAGGGGCTGCCGTAGAAAAGTTATTTATTTTCTGTACAACAGAAAGAGCTACAGACCAACAACATAGTCTAAAAGCCACCTCTTAAAGCATTTCACCACCCAGTTTCCAGATTTTTAAAACTACACCATTTAATTCTTATCAAATTCTCACCAACTGTGCAAAGATGGAAACTCTAACTTCTATTTTACAGACAGTATTTGTGATGTTGCACTGGACTCGTCAGCTGAAACGTCTACTGTAGTTACTCAAAATAACATATATGATATATGATTATACATTTTAATATCTTGTCCCTACAACCTATTGAAGTAAATATGTTGAAGTAAAGTTAAAAACATGAAAACTGAGCTCAAACTAATGTCTTTACTCGTAGACTGTTGAGGAAATTAGCAAATAACTTTGTATTGCATTGAATGACTGTTTATTGCATTTTCACTTTTAACAGTACATCGTGCCTCTTTTTAAATGCTAATATACAAATTGGACTTCTGTTGCACTACAGTAGCTTGGTAGATTTGTTATTGACTCAAGACCACAATAATGACAAAACAATAACACAGACTGCTTTGTCTGTCTGTTTTGTGAGCTGCTTTTCAATGACATTTGAGCCCTCTAGTGCTTTTCTTTAGCAACTACATAAAAAAAAAAAAAAAAAGATTGGTTAAAAGTGTGTGAACAGCATTTAATATTCAGAGCTTTCATAGCAATGGAATAAAAAAAACAACTAATTACTTTCTCTGTCGTGAAACTACCATACCATCCATCTAAAAGGTAAACAAAAGTGATCAGTACAAGAATACAAATGAATGCTGTATCAAAATCTTATTAGGGGAGGCAGAAGGAGAAGTGATGAAGATGATGAAGAGGGACAGGGGCACATCAGTCATCAGAGGGCAGTTTACACTATATTCAAGGGTCAAGCTCTTTATAATCACAGTTATCACGGTATATGGTAGTTGCTAAAGGGACACTGTTTGAATATCAAGATATAGCCGGATTATTCAATTTAATGTTCACAATACACTCACTATTATTTGACTCTCACAGATCTCAGACACAAACATTTTGAATGGAGCACTCAGCTGCAGTGTCATCATCCGAAACGTTAGGGGGCGGTGTTGCATTATAACATTTGATGGTTATGCCCGTTGAAAACCAAAAGGCAGTAAACCGTCTGCCTAGGAGTTATGACATGACCCTGAACTACTTTTTTTTCTGACAAAATAAAACCCATCAGTATTTATAACATTAAACTACTTTTATCTAAAACATGTTACGGACACTGTGTCGAGCCGGTTGCGCCGTATTAAAGGTAAAGAGTCTGTTTATCAAGTGCTAACTGTGCTGGCTTGCTAACTTGCTAGTCTGCTAACTCTAGCCGGTAACGTCATTTTATGAGCCACTTTTAAAAAATGAATAATTAAAAACGTCAGGTAACACCTGTAAAACCCATAATACCTATGCGCGCATATCTATGAGTAGAACAAAACATAACCAGTCAAGTTACCTGCGTGCAACGGAAGCTAGCTAACATGAGCTAGTCATAGCAGACTGTCTCATCTTTTAGGCTAAAGGCTGTGATGCATGCTCTGCCCACGCAATCAACGCAATCAACACTACAGGTGGGAACAGGTGTGATTTACAGGTGTTACTTAGTGGTCGATTATGAGCACGTATTTGTGTATGTAAATTTCACTACTAATTATAAATCGAATAAAAGAAGGGCTAAGCATTTGCGTCGTTTTATTAATTCAATTAATATTCATTAAATAAGTGGATCATAATTATTGACGCATTTATGTGTACGTCACGTGTACGTTTAATGTTGCAGGTGGTAAAGGTGGACTGATTTTAATCTCTTATACTGTTGAGTAGCTTGTGAATTTCCACCTGGGGTAAACAAAAGTTTTATCTAAACCCATAATAATGGATCATAATTTATTGATTATATTTTCTATCATTATTCTGGATTCGCAAATAACCAGTAACTAAAGTTATTAAATAAATGCAGGGCAGTAAGAAGTACAATATTTCCTTCTGAAATATAGTTAAGTAGAAATATAAATTAAGAAGAAAATGGAAATGCACGCATCTCATAATTGTCCTCGGACACTAATGACAATTGCTAAAAATCATATAAGACATCAATTACTTAGAGATACCTGAAGGTGTTAAGACAGATCCAATTATTTGTAACCAACACACTTGTTTCCTGTCACTACAGAACTCCCAGTGCACTGTGCCCAGGTTACGGGTGACCCCAGGGCAGCGGCGATGGGCCTCCCGTTTACCCATGAACACTGTGGTCCTGTTCGTGCCACAGCAGGAGGCCTGGGTGATCGAGAGGATGGGTCGCTTTCACCGGATCTTGGAGCCGGTAATTTTTTTCAACCGGGGGTTCGACAAGCCTGTGTATTAGGAAGCTAGTCTCTCTCTCTGTGTAAACTCTCTAGGTAAAAATATAGACATTTTGAGCACTGACACTTCGTCCTTTCTTATAGGGACTGAACTTTCTCATTCCCATACTTGACCGAATTCGTTATGTGCAAAGCCTTAAAGAGATTGTTATTGACATCCCGGAACAGTCCGCTGTATCCTTAGGTAAGATATTTTTCTATTGCATTTTGGGAAAGAGTCATAGCAACTACGGACATGAACATTTATGTTTATTATTGGTTTAATTAAGCACCTTCGAGGCTGCATTAACTGATATTTTCTTGTTCTTCACACAGATAATGTGACGCTGCAAATTGATGGCGTTCTCTATTTGAGAATCTTACATCCTTTTAAGGTATGGTACGCTGGTAAGAGTACTAAAGTACTAGCATGTCATTTGGCCGTCATTCTGGTCAATTATGAAATACAAGACAGTGAGCCATGCATCTTAAGCTTTGCCTCAGATACGGAGCGATAACTTGCTCGCAGTGCTTTATCTGACTTAACAAAATGACAGTTATATTTGATTTATATTTATTGTAGATAAATTGAAGTGACAGATATTAATCGATGTTCAAGGCTAAAAATGTTCCATGTGTCCAAAAAATATTTTATATGAATACTGATTTGTAGTAATAAAGGAGTACTGTTTTTTATCCAGCAGGTTGCGCCAGTTAGTTTGATTATTCATGAAATCACCTCATGGAGACTGATCGGTTGTGTGTTTCCAGGCTAGTTATGGTGTAGAGGATCCAGAATATGCTGTCACTCAGCTTGCACAAACCACAATGCGTTCTGAACTGGGCAAACTCACACTGGATAAAGTGTTCAGGGTAAGAAACTGCCGCCCTGCTTGGTGTGTTTTTCATTGCAGCTGGGCAGTGATAAGTATCTCATACCTGCTCTCTTGGGTCCTCTCTGGTTTTCAAGGAAAGGGAGTCTCTTAATTCCAACATTGTCCACTCCATCAACCAGGCGTCGGACGAGTGGGGAATCCGCTGCCTGCGTTATGAAATCAAAGATATACAAGTTCCGCCTCGTGTTAAAGAATCAATGCAGATGCAGGTAAGACGCACACGTAACTGTGACTGTCAAAACTGAGACCAAATAGATTATTATTCAGAAGCAAGATTTCAATCAAAATAACTTTTCAAGCGGTCCTTAGTTACTTTCCATTGACATTAGTTTCTGTTTTCAAGACAATCAAAGTCGGTTACTACACGTGACAATTCCCAGAGGTTATGAAAATCGTCGCACCCAGCCACTGGGTGATTTTAGGATTATCTTGTTTCCCTTCCTTGTTCTTTGTTTCCTGTGTAGGTGGAGGCTGAGCGTAGGAAGAGAGCCACAGTGTTGGAGTCTGAGGGGACACGGGAAGCGGCCATCAACGTCGCAGAGGGTTGCAAGCAATCCCAAATCCTAGCTTCAGAGGGAGAGAAGGCAGAGCAGATAAACAAAGCGGCTGGTCGGTGCATTTTACTTTTGACTTTAAGAAACAACTATTTAACTGGGAATTTTCCATAAAGGAATCATGTGAGCACGTGTGTAATTGAAGGTCTTGTTAACTTAGGCCCTCATTACTCTAAATCCACAAAGCATTTAATTATGTGCCTGCAGACTGTGTTACAACACTACACGAGCATCTTATGACCCACACAAATCAGACATGGTTACTGACAACTTTAGAGCACATTGAGTAGAAGTGAATCAAGAGGAATGTTGAAAAAAGAGGTTTAAAGCCTCTTATATAATGTCATTTGTTGTTAATTCACATGTTGTGTTGTCTCTAGGTGAGGCCCAAGCTATCTTAGCCAAAGCAGAAGCCAAATCCAAGGCCATTCGTCTGTTGTCAGCAGCTCTGGCTGAACAGGTATAACGTAGATTTTAATGCTTTCTTTGTCATCAAAGGATTAAAAGTGATTATGAGCTCTTGTGTTGTTTGGAAACGTTCTTCTCAGTGTTCACAGTAACCAGAGTTTTCACTGTGTTCTCGACAGAACGGAAATGCCGCGGCCTCACTGAGTGTCGCCGAACAGTACGTCTCTGCGTTCTCCGACCTCGCCAAAGTGTCCAACACTGTGCTCCTGCCCTCCGACACCGGTGACGTGAGTGGAATGGTCACACAGGTGCGCTATTTCCTAACTGCTAATAAGCTTCAGACTTACTTTAAAGAGGAGTTTGTTCACATAATTCTTCACAAAGTATCCCTGTCTTAACTAACGCTATATGTTTGTTCTTTTGCTCTCAGGCCATGACTATTTACAGCACGCTATCCAAGCCGACGTTAAAAGTTGAAAGCATAAAGACCAAGACGGACGAACCCAGCGCAGAGCCTCCGGTCCAGGCCACGTCAGCGCAGTAACAGGGGACACCGTGACCGCACTAAACTGTAGTAGACACAAAAAGGAGGAAGCTGTTTTCCACAATTATGGAGCACAGTGGCTCGGCCAGTGCAAAGGGCGCTCTAACTGCTTCAGGGCACACACGGGATGTCAAGACTGAAAAACAGCACTTGCTGAACAGAGACGATGCCGAGCAAGGACGGCTGGGAAAAGAGAGACACTGAACCGTAAATCATGTTACCTTTGTTGGTCAGGTGTTGTACCTGAACTAATTTCACTATGCTGTGAATAGTATCTGTGATAAGGACGCATACTCTGCCAGTATATTGTGTTAATGGTGCACAGACAAAAACAAAAGAAACGGCAGCTTCTTAATTACCTCATCACTGCTGAATAGACAGAGTGGCTGTGTGATTATATGCAGATGTGACTGAACATTTTAGTCCTCAGTTAAGCTTCTAACACGACTCATTTCTGTGTTGTCACTCAGCCTGATTTCCTATGATCGGAATATCATTTATTATTTCAAATGCAGTTATTTTTTTATTTATTTGCATTTTCTATATTATTTATATCTCAAGAGATTAAATGGCTTTTGGATTTAGTTCAAAACTTTAACGCACTTAAAAAAAGCCTTAAGAAGATATATTGAATATATTTTTTGGAGATGTTGGGGTGGTGTGTCAGCATTAAGAAAAAAGACTGAAATAAAAGTGTCTATTGTACATGTCAAGGTTTGTCTCTATGCTTCAGAGAACAGTGATATTGCAACAGTATGGTTTCTCCAATTTAACATTACAGATTGTCATGGAACCTAGAGCTCAGGAAGGAGCTCTCAAGGAGCTTTCACTATCCACTTAAGTGTTGCAGGTCAGAGTTGGTGGGTTGTTCAAATTGAGATCATAGTTACCATAAATGCACTGATGTAATTAGTTATAATAAAAAGTGCAACTGTATAGTTTCCCTATCTTGAGAAATTCCAAGCGTAGCAATTTTGTACAACTCACGTGATGATTTAACAGAAACCTTTCTATTATTTGGTTACTCTGCTGTGTAAAGCCTGATATGGGTCTTTATAATCTCAACTGTGATTCAGCCGTTAACCTCAAATATTTCAACTGCATGACACCTGCCGGTTTCAGGTAGATAAGTGTCATTTTTGAGCTGGTTCACAAAGTTCATCTGTCGCAGACAGGCATGGCAGTTATTTCACAAACAAAACAGTGATTCTTGTGACGGAAAAGTATTTGCACTAGTCTTTGATTTTGAATTGAATTACATCGGCTATAGTGTCAGAGCTTGGGAAAATGGTATTTGATAGTTGAACATTGTACAATGCTTCTAAAGATAGATTTAAATTTTAAAAAAAGTGAGGCACTTTAGGCTTTTGTGTTTTTCAAGCAAAAACTGCTAACAATCAAACATTTTCTAAGACATGCTTTATAACTTTAGCAGTAGTAGTAGTAGTACTGAGGACCACCCAAACAATGCCAAATTACTAACGAAATAGGAAAGAAAAAGTGCTTTTCCTCTTCACAAAATTATTTTTATGAAAATTTTGTTTCTGATTTGACGTCACTTTTGCGTAGGTCTCAGCTGTCTTTGGTTTGCTTTCAGCCTCTGGGGAGGTATTGTGGTCAATAAATACTTCATCAGAGAGGTTTAATCCAGTGTAAATGCCAGTTAATGCCAGTTCTTTTTCAAGCAGCAGGTGATTGTGTTTGTGGCTCTTTTTAAAACAGAAATTTGACTTGAAAAGCATCAGCAAGACTTTTGGTTGGTTTTCTGGCAAAGAATTCTAGTGAACAGCGTAAAGCCTGGCATTACATACTAATAAACCTCCCTCTCTATCATCTCCAATTCTATGCTCCGAGCTCACATGATGAAATGGAGAAAGCAATGACTGGAATGTGGAATTTGGTTGCACGGATTTCAACACATAAAGCATACTGCAAGCACACACTTGCTGCCGTGTGTGCGCGCGTGTGTGCGTCTTTAATCCCCGAAAAGGCTGGCAGTGACTGGCCCAAAAATCGGATGTTTTCTCATTCGAGCGTTTCCCAGACACACCTCTTTCTCCCGCCTCCCTGTCACTGCAGCCTCCTGTCTCTCCTTGTCTTTTCCCATCTGTCTGTCTGTGCGTCTTCTTCGGAATTTATTTTGCAGTTGTTGGTAACTGCTTTGCCCTGGGAGAGGAAAAAAAAACATAACATAATTAAGACAAAGATGTTGGCTCATTGTGCCGTTCACCTCTCCTTACCCCCCCCCCCCCCCCCCCTTTTTTTCATGACACACACAGACACATACCCACAGCCTTGGGGCAGTATAGTTAAGGAGGTATGTAAAGTTTGTCTTGTTTAGGACCTTGAACTGACAAACCACAGGAAGAAAGACAGAGAGAACGGGCGAGGGGGGGAGGGAAAAAGAGAAAGATGGAGCTTGATGAAATGTGAAGGAGTAAAAGCAGAAAAGGTGTTTGAAGCTGCAGGTGTGAGGCCAATTTTGTGGCTTTATTTCTGTGTCTTTCTCACTCACACACACACGCACGCACGCACGCAGACAGACGAGTCTTGACATTGAAATAGTGCTTACTGAGGTGAATAGAAACCAGCAGGAATTGGGGGCAGCTGACGTAAAGCAGAAACAGCAGAGAAAGAGACAGAGAAGGTATTAGCAGCTCATAAAAAGGCACTTACGAGCTGCAGTTAGGAAACTCGTACATTCATTCACCATTGGCTGCTACTGAACACACACATTATAAAGAATCTCAATGGCAGCTGCTGCCAGTAAATGGAGTTACAAAGATGGAGAAGATAACAGACGAGTTAGAAAAGAAAGACTGATAAAGAATGTGGGAGGATAATGTGATTTTACAACAGACAGTTGAACCTATGTTTTTTTTGTGTGTCTTTTTTAAAGTTATAAAGACTACGGTAAAAATAAACACTCAATGAATTCAAATCTCATAAAAAGAGGATGATGGCACGTGCTAAGAGAATGTGTGTCAGTGCCAAGACGCTGCCTGCTTCTGCAGACACTGTATAGCCTGCAATTTATGGTGGAAAAAAAAACAAAAAACTAGTGCGCCAGAACAATCAGCTAAAACGCAAGAATCCTCTCTCAGATCCTTCACTCCACCCACTAGGGACAATCCTTCCATTCTTGTATTTTTTTCTCATTCACTCCAGCAGGACATCTATGAGCAGGACGCACATTCCCTCTGTTTGGACAAGAACTTAATACCAAAAGCTTTTTTTTTTTTAAACCTCCTGCTTTCCTTTTCTTTTTAAAGAAAAATCTCAATTTCAGAACAGGATTTGGAATAAGCTCCTCCACTTTTTTTCTCTCTCTCTTTGATCAGACAGCTTGACAGAAAAGTTGTGACAGATTTAGAAAGCGGCAAAAAAGAAGAAGAAGAAGAAAAAAAAGTCCGGAGAGAGACAGAGACAGAGAGAGAGCTTTGCCCTGAAGGTTTCTGAGAGAGAAACAGGAGACAGATAAAGAGGCAGTGATAATCAGAGAGAAAGGGAGAGAGAGAGAGAGAGAGAGAGAGAGAGAGAGAGAGAGACAGACAGAGGGAGGGAAGAGCACAGCCGCTGTGTGAAGAAAAGGGGAAATATAGATAAAGAAAGCGAGGAGGTGCACCAGTTTGAAGGGCAAGGAGAAGAGACTGAACAACCGGACAACCAAGGCTGGAGAGGAAAGGGGAGATAAATGGGAGAGTCAACAAATACAAGGTAGAGATTGAGGAAAAATTCCGGTTCAAGGTCAAGACGAATAGTGACTTAAAGAACATCATATTAACAGCAAGAATGGACATGCAGCAAGAGAAGAGGAAAGACTTCCTCTGAAGAAAAAAGGAAAACGAAAAAGGAGCCGTGTTTGAAGCTGTGAAGAGGAGACGATTTCCTCATCATGATTTATTCAGCTGATTTCCCAAATTCATACAACCTGCGCCAGAAGAGCAACTTCGTCCCAGGATAGAATGAAGAGAGGAGCAAAGAGATACCTGCCGAGTCTGTGATACCCTCCTGCTCCTCCTTCTCCTCCTCTTCACCTCAGACTCCTCCACCTTCCTCTCCTCCTTCCTCTCTGTCACTTTACATCCAGATTTAAATTCACCAACTTCCTCCTCCTCTGTCCTGATATCTCCTCTCCTCTCCTCTCTTCTCCATCTCCTCACTATGTGGATACCAGCTTTGCTCCTATGGATGCTTAATATCAGCAATTTGTGCTCAGGACAAGACTATACAGACTATTACCAAACTGGAGACATGGGCACCAAGGTGAGACATTTATCTACCATATTTATCTACCATCTATAAAAACGTGCTCTTAACTCTAGGGTTAACAATAAAATATTGCACCATTTCTCATTGGCTTTTGACCAGACCACAAAGATGTTTCACTCATCTCTACAGTTTTTCAATTAGTGTCTGTATTTGATTACACAGGGGTGACAAATTAAAGGAAAAATCTGAACAAATGATTGAATGTAAATACTGAATGCATATGCTTCCATACAAGGAACAAGGGCTCACTGAATACTTAACTGAACACCAAATGAGGGGATATCTTTGCTATCGAACCAAATTCCTAAAGTTCTCCCTTAGAATTACATCAGATCTCTCTGTTCTTGTTAATTGCATACATTATGTCTTTTTCTAGTATAGAAAATGCTTTTCTTTTTTTTAAAAAAAAACTATCTAGAGGCCATACTGTAACCTGGAGAAGTCCTGGTTTGCAGTAGAACTAAAGATATACAAGAGGGTATCATCAGCGTAAAAAGGCACATTACAATATTTAAAATGGGGAAAAAAAATTCTACTTAGGTACAGAGTAAACAGCAGGTGGTCTAGTGTTGATCCTTGTGGGACACCTTTATCATGTGGGGATTTCAAATCATCAGCAACAACAGCCCAAACCTCAAAACCAACAGAAAGTAAATTATTTAGTGAAATATTCTGATCAGCCTTGACAAGATCTACAAAGGGTGCAGCACAATGTTGCTTCTTATCAAGTGAATTAACAATGTCATCTACAGCAGCAGTTTCAGCAGTTACTCTACTATGAGCAGGTCTAAAGCATGACTGCTGTGGAGGGAAGATTTTCCTCCAGAAAGACATGTGGTTTTGAGTTGACCAGTGATCCCAGAGTTCAGACAAAGCCAGTTTAGATTTAGACTGATCGTTGTTTAGGCTACAAGTGTCCCCACCTTCGTGTAATATGTTCATCTGATCATCTCTAAGATCCTTTACGTTGGTCTTTCCTTAAATTGTTTTTTCCTTTGATTAACATTTTAATAATGTACATTATCATTATAAATTTGAACACAATTAACCGGCAGACTAGTAGAAGCTTTAATGCAATCAATCTGATTGTTCATTATGATCAATTAAAGTGAGTCTCATTCCAGACCCTCCTTGTAAAATCCTTATTAAACATTTCTTTTCTAAATTAGTTTCTTTAAAATAATTCCAAAAATCTAACTACTTCCTCCTGTATATGATGTAATTTAATCACGACTATGAGGAAAAATTCTGTTTAACAGTGTCAGTATCAACTTAACTGTAAATGCTTTACTTTATGAGTCAGCCAGGAAACTATCAAGTATCAGATCTCAAGCTCTGTTGAAGTCTGACAAATGGGTAGTTCTGTGGAAGTGTCTGGCCCCAGACATCTTTAATAGCAGTGAGACAAGGTACTCACTCTGCCATTTATTGTTTAGTTGGTGGTCAGTCTACTACCAGGAATTAGTTCCCTTCCTAGATTTTAAGTAATGCTTAATCCTCTTGGAATGGAGTGAATGAATGACTTACAATCACATATTTTGACTGGCCAGTTATCAATTGTTTAAAAAAAGATAAATTTAAAGAAAATAGTGTGTTTGTATGCAACAATAGCTTTGGACATAAGATGCAGGAAGACAGACTGAGGGACAAATGCATGGGTGTGTGCATATACATGCCTGAGTGCCAGCAGTATCTAATGATGGACACACCCCAGTGCACTGGACAAATGACTGGCCTGTCATGACCTCATAGTCCCACAGCGATGACCTCATGTCATGTGACCACTTAACAACACAAAGGAGAAAGAGGGGAACCGAAAGAAAAAGAGGAAATCTGGGAAGACTTTGAAAGAAAGAGAGAGAAGATTCCATCCTCCAGTGTGTAATTACAATTCTGCATTAATATTATGTGGAGATTCCCCAATTTAGCGGTGTGATATTGCTTATTGCTAGATATCTGCTTGAAAAACTAATACCAGTAATGGTTTAATTTTAAGCCACATGCTTCAATAAGAGGGAGAACCCTTCTAATGACAAACAGTCAATTGTAAGTGTGAAGCTGTGACTTGAATCATAACTGATGAAAAACCAATAATCAGTACTTTTCATTTCCCACTAAGAAACCACAAAGACGTCAACTGTGTATTCACAGTTTTGCTGAAACAGATCAACAGTATGTTTAGAAATGCATTCAGCTGATTTTTAACCAGACAGGGTTACATCACCTGAAAGCCAAAAAGAAAGATCAGGATAATGAAAAATGTCTCTAACGTGCCAATATTTTTTAACCAGCTCTTAGGGATGGCAAAGTCGGCTGGTCAAGCGCTTTGGTCCAGACTTAACTATCTCAACAGCTCTTAGAGGGATCGTCATTAAATGTTGTACAATCATTCAGTGTTGACTTAACTGATCCCCTGACTTTTCCTCTGGCACCACCGTGAGGTTGACTTTTGTGGTTTTGGGTCATTTATGTCAACAACTGCTGGATGGATCCTCATGAAATTTGCTTCAGACATTCATGTCCACCTCAGCCTCAGCTGCACTTAGTCTTTAGTGCTAATTATCACATGTTAACATGTTAAACGAAAAGAATTTCTTGTTTGAGGTCTCAGGCGAGCATAAGAGAACGACAGCTGTGAGACACAAATAGAAAAGGGGAGGTCAGAAATGTCAGAAATATGTATGAGACAAATGAGTTGGATTGAAAGACGCAGGAAGGGAGGGGAGGCAGGGAGAGAGGTAGAGAGAAAGATAAATGGCGAGACTGATAACGCTACAAAAATCTGGTTTCTGTTAAGGTAATACCAGCTGTGCCAGTATGTTCCTTCTCAGGCTGGGAAACTAAACAATCACTCACACTCCCCGGAGGAAGAATTAATGTGTGACACTCAAAGTCTCAGCTGACATTTAGTCCCCCACACATGATACAGCAACCTCAATTAGCTTTTCTGTTACACAATTAACCTTTTATCTATAATCTACTGTATCTGTGAGTAGTACAACAGAGTCATCCATCAGGACAGCAGCAAAATCGTTATGGGGATGACTCACCGCAGGAATGGTTTATGGAGCGATAACCTTTTCCTCCTCATAAAGCCCTCACCACACAATAATCATAATAATGTGGGTTTCGGCTGAGCTGACAATCGCAAGTGTGTTTGGTCCATTTAAGCAGGCCATGGGATTCATTTAAGGATTCCTCAGAAGCTCTTACATTGGTAGCTCAAAGTTGGAAGTTCAACATGTCATGGAGGGCAAATTCAGATGCATTTATGCCAGAAAATGACAGTGGAAGCAACCAAAAGGATGTAGAAAATACAAATGTGTGAAAATTGAAGTCCATGAGTGAACTGGGTCAGATTACAGCGTCTTGCTCAGGGGCACTGCAGCAGCAGGGCAGGTATTTTCAAGTGTTATCACTTTGCCTTAGGTGAAGTTTTTTTTAAGTGCACGGTTTAACTGCTGTAAAAGGCTCGACAATAAAGACAAAAAAAAAAGGAGCGAAAAGAGAGATGGAGGCAGAAAGGAAACAAGCTTTGCAGCGTCCTTGTGTATTTGAATACAACAATAAGTGTGTGTAGGTGAGGAGAGGACACATGTACCCATAATAACTAACAGTAGCCAACAGCAACATGTTACAACACATTGGTAGCTGAGGTATTCACTGTTTATCCGACTCAAAGCAGCAAAGCTGACGCTGTAAATTTTGCAGTGTCGAATAGGTTCTCCAAAAAGCAACAACTCAGAACAGATCACCCTCGATTCTAACGCTTCAAAAAAAGCAAAAAAAAGTGTTGTTTTTAAAAAAATATATATTATATTTAACAGCCACAAATTGGACAAATGGGACAGAACATGGCAACTGATGTGCCAAATTCCAGTTTTCATTGTCCTTGTGTCCTTGCGTCTCATTTCATTGTCCCCCTAAGTTCTTTCCCCTCTTGGAGATGTGATCTATGAATACAAAGCTTTGTCGCACCATATGAAAAGCTAAAATTGCGTTATAGCTCACGGGATTTTGCGTTATTAAAGTTACATTTGTTCACTGTCTCCCAGGCTCCAGTGATGTCAGATGACCAGCCCAGTTTGGAGACAGTAACGAGTGTGGATCAGCTATTACAGCTTCTGTACCCTGAGTACAGTTTGCTTCAGCAGTGCCTGAGGAAGAAATCACGGCATGCCTCCTCTTCCTCCTCGTCCCCCTCTTTTTCCACCACCTCAGCGAGCCCTCCAGCCCACTCTAACGATGAGGATCTTTGGGGTCAGCCGAGGGAGGAGGCTCTTTACAAAATTGATGGGACTTTCGAAGGTAAAAATTGAGATGCTCTCCAAAAAACACAAAAATTCAGTTGCACATAGTTGAATTTAGATGAAAAGCAGACAAGTGGTGTCTGAAATAACACATTTGAATTCAGATATATGGAGCAAGGCTCACAATAATCAAGAATCTTTTAAAGTTTGAATTATTTCTTTGTTGTTTATACAGTACCAGATAACTGTCATACCTCCAAGATTATTATTTTTTTTTTTTTTTTACTTTTAAAAGCTTTTCTCTTCATCTCTCTTCATTTCTCTGTCATCAGCAGTATTTTAAAAAGCAAGAGCAAAGTGCCAAAATGCTTCAAAATCAGAGCAGTGGTGATATAACAAGAGAAATCATGTTTTTATGGAATGCCAGACAGATCTCATTGCACTGGAGACAGACAAAAGTGGGTGGTAAATGCAATAAATGGAAAAAAGAAGCCTAGCTGGAAAGAGGACTGGAAAATGAAAATTAGATTAATTCTATAATTTTCCCCAATTGCCCCCCAAAACCTCTAATAACAGGTAAATCAAGACTCTTATGCTCTCTTGTGTTCAGATTGAGAGTGTCAGGCAAACCAAATTCAGTTTCTTAATCACATGTGTTTTCAGTCATCCTAGAGGAGATCCAGCGGACCTCATGCCAACCCAGAGAGGTGTTTGTTGAGGTCGCCAAAGAATACCCAGAATCCACCACTCAATTCTACCTCCCTCGCTGTGTGGCGCTGCATCGCTGCGGCGGGTGCTGCACCAGCGAGGCCTATTACTGCACAAACACAAGTCACTCGCTTGTAAACAAGACAGTAAGTGCTGGATTCTTTTTCCTTCTTCCTTGTTTTTTTTTTCCCCCGTTTATTTCCATGTCAGACACTTTTCAGCACTTAAATTAATTAACACTCTGCTCCATGACACGACTGTGTTGGTATTTTCTGCTCTTACACCTCAAACTGCCTCAGGAACGAGGACAGAAACCAATCTTCCAGGTTATGTAACAAGCTCATCTGTATCACATCCCGGCCCACTGCAATGGGACACCCTTTGGCTGCAACTGGACATCAAGACCATACAACTCACACAGTCACGCACTGTTGCGCAGTCTTGCAACACTTACATCAACTTCTACAGCAGGAACACTCATAACCAGTATTATTGTTATGAAAGCAGCAGCAGCAGCAGCAGAAGAAGAAGAAGAAGAAGAAAAAAACAAAGGACATAATAAAAGATAAACAACTAAGAATTGTTGTTTTCTTACACAGTGTACAGTTTTGTACACACACACACACACACACGCTAACATACAAACACACACCTCTAACCTTTTATCCCTCTTCCCACCAGTTGATGGAACTGTCCCCTCCCAGGATGGATCGCTCCGTCGTCATGGTAACCTTCGTCAACCACACTTCGTGCGAATGCCTCTCCAAGCGGCCGCTCCACTCCATCATCAGACGAGCCGCAACAGATCACCTGTGAGTAAGAGTGTAGAGTGATGCATGATTGCATTTACAAACATTTCTGAGTCAGTGTTCCTGTATGCGTTCATAATGTGTGTGTGTGTAGGTGTTCCCCTCTTGAAGTCCCCTGCGCCTCAGGGTCATTATGGGATCCAGTGAATTGTGTGTGTGTCCCAACAGATGCCATAAACTACTCTGAGAGAGAGACAGGTAAAATTGTTCAATTTCTGCTAAACAAAATGAGTTAAGAGAGAAGAAAAGAAAATATTCTTCTGTCACACCAAATTCTGTTGATTTTTTTTATTTTTGTTTGACATGTAAAATGCTGGACACTTTCAGCTCTTCATTTCAAGGGCAAAAACTCTGTCTCTACTGAGAGCGGCAAATCTCCAAGGCTGGCCCTGTTCTGGGTCCTGATCCAACACTTTAACAGATAAAAAAACACTCACGAAATGCTACTGACAACTTTGGCAAATGAAAATTAATCAAAAAATCAAAACAATAACTCACAAGTATTTACAGCAAATGCAATGTTACATCCTCAACAAAGGGTGGAGACCAATATGTCAAACAAATAATATGCAAGCTCTAAATGGAGCATTATGTTCCATCACAAAAAACAGGATTTACCTCATGTCTTATGGTTAAAATCCTGCCATCAGGCCTGTTTAACATATTAGATAGTGTGATGAACGCAGCAGGTTCAGGGTGGGTCATGTGGCACATGGAAAACAAACACAACACCAGGTAATTTCACTGATTGAGTTGGAGTGAAAAGCACAGTGTGTCACTCCCACGCCCCCTTGCAGTGTGGAGTAATACTTCAAACATGTTGAGAACCGATTGTAGCGGCCAGAAACATCATCCATGGAAAAAAAAATTTTGCTTTTATTTCTCTTAGTGTATTTTGTTTCCCTGTTGTCTTGTAACAACTGAACAGAAATGAAAACCTCAGACCTTAAAAGCCAGTGGGGCGGGTTTTTGTGCTGTGAGTCAGTGAGACGGACATTTTTTCAAAATCTCTACCACCACAGCCAAATGATGATGATGATGATGATGATGATGATGATGATGCCTTGGCGGAAAATGAAATGATATGAAACTAATTCTGCTGAAGGGAATGTTTATTCAACTGTAACATCAGAAGCCAAAGTGTCTTTGTGGCATTTTACTTGTACCATCATGTAGTGAAGCACAGTGCCGACCATCTCCACCTACTTTTTATTCATATAATAGACTGAAAATAGATGCCGATGGGAAAGAGTCTGAATGATTAGACATATAAACTCATTTTGGGTATACAGTATATATGATCATTTCAAACAGGCCCCACAGGAGCTTTGACCACTGATGCTGTAGCTGCTTGCCCTACTGGCATGCATGAAATTAGACTAAGCGTCTACATCCATGCAGTGCTAGTATGGCTAAAAAGACAAAATGAAGCTGGAACATAACAAAATAACATTGTTTACTTGCTTTCCATGTGGCTTCCAGACTCGCTGGACTCAGCACTGCTCGCTCTCTGCGGGCCCAACAGGGTCCTGCAGGAGTCCACCTGCGAGTGCGTCTGTCGAAACGGACTCACCGAGGACAGCTGCGATCCAGGCTGGAAACTGGACCACAACACCTGTAAGGAGGGTTTCAGTTATTGAAAATGAATGAAAATATATTGTTGTTTAAAGCAGAATTAAAGGCTTAAGAGTCTGCACCACTGCCTGGACCAGCTGGAGAGAGAGTCTTAACATTGTACGTCTATTATATGCCAGGCATTAGGTGCTTTTCCTGAAAATGGATGACAAGGTGCTCCTCAAAAACACCAATTTTCTGAAGCTACCTCTTGGCTTCATAAAGACCAGTTTACTGTAAATACACCGCATTTATGAGAAAGGGGCCATCAGTCTTAAAGCAGCTGAGTAAGATCAAGATAGATAAACAGACAGTGTTGGGAAGTTTATGCAAACTATGGAACAAGTAAAGACATGATCACCAAAAATTTTGCCCAACAGCGCTGACAGAGGCGCACAATGCAAAAGCTGATACAGTTTTGGCTTTAATTCATAAAATTGCCTTTATGATTTTCGGTTCCTCTTGCAGGTGAATGCCAGTGTGAAGGCCAAGGTGAGGGGAAGTGGTGCCCTGCGGGCCAGCGGTGGGATGATGACCTGTGTGGCTGTGTGTGTGCTGCGGACTGTCCCGGGAACCAGCCCCTGAACCCCGACACCTGCCTGTGTCAGTGCAGGGAGAGTCCACACTCATGTCTGCGGCAGGGCAAGAGGTTCAACCCCAACACCTGCAGGTAGGCCTACAAAGAAGGTTTCAAGCGTCACTGAATTTCTGAGCTCTGCACTCTGACCTCCCTGTGGAGAGGGACGAGCAGAGAGAAAATGTCTCCTTTGGGGGATGAAATTATCCAAAGTATCCACACTCTGGCTCTCTGCCAACTCGACCCTTAACTTTAAGAACACCCCCACCCCACCCCCCACCCCCCGCTCTGAGCCAAAAAAGCCAATAAGCAATAATAAACATTTTTTTGGTTTTAAACATGACTATCTTGTTTCAGTATGAGGAAAAACATTAATCAGGTTCTTTATTATTATAGCAGCTTAAATTTGATTATGTCAAAGATGGCATTTCTTCTCTGATGGCATCAAATTATTAAGCAATCAGTCCTGTTGCTGTTTCTATGTGACCGAGCACAGCCACCTCCGTTTTTCTCCGTCAAACACGGCACGTGGCTGACAACAGTGTCTTTATGAAGTCAATATAGTCCTCAGAAACAGTATCTAAGTCTGGTTTCCAAGCCAGCGTCAAAACAATTCATTGGAGTTATTGGTTCCTCTTTTCCTTATTACACAGTTGCATAAAATTCAACTCTACAGCTTGACGTAAACACACAGTTGCACAATTTTTCCAGCTGTCCTATACTGGTCAATGAACTGCATGCTTGCACTGAAATGCATGAAGGTATTCGCTACAATATGTGGCCAGCTGAGAGGCCAGAACACACTCAAGCTCCTTATTAAGAGTTTTATGGGGGCATAAAATATGTTAGGGGCAACTGAGAGGAAGTAGGTGATGTAACATAGTCTCCAGGGCCAAAATCTCTTGGACAGTGATGGCTGCGATCAGTACACAGCGTCTTTAAACATACCACTTGGCTATGAAGACAGAGCAGCACAGCCAGCTCTCCACTGGACTGCTAAAGGTTAAAGGAGATTTGTGATGCACCTCTGAATCTCTACAGCTCAAAAACTATGAGAAATGTCTGTGTCTGTTTATCATGAGTTACCTGAACCAGTGGCTTGTACTGGGAGAACTGGTCCTGTGCACGGTGTTTAAGGTAGTAGCTCGGCCTGGTTGTTCCTTGGGGTGCCATCACAAGTCTTCACCCTGGGAGCTCTGCAAGAGGAAGAGGAAAAGATTGAGAGCCAGAGCTTTGAGAGAAAGGCAGTTAGAGGGGGAGAAAGCAAGCGAAATCTCAATGGACATGTCAAACATTCCAAACTCGAAAAAGAAAAACTCACTTTCTCCATTTGATTTCGTTCACATGTTTCCATAAGGCCTTTTATGGACACAGGGCGTCCTAAACATTCGATCATGGTCTCAGCTGCGTGTGCATGGTTTGCATGCGTGTTGCGGTTCCCACAGCCAGCATGCAAGAGATCAACCTTCCTCTGAACCCAGGGGCCTGCAGAGAGACACACAGAGAGGCTGGGTGAACTTGATGACAGTGAGCAGAGCAGCCGTGAGACAGGCGGGCAGACTCTGAGACAGATGGAGTGGCAGGGTACAAAGACAAACACATAAGCAGACATGAGCTGACTGATTTCTAATCATGGCTTTACACGTGTGGGAAAGTTCACAGAGATACACACAAGTGACCTTTGATGGCAGAGTTTCTAAACTTTCTCAGCTTAAGAGGGCTGAAATAAATACCTCTTTACTCAAACTGAATGAGTTAGAGTTCCTTGGTTGTGAAGTTGCAGCCCTTGGTTTTTCACAGTTCTGTTGTCCATGTAACTGTTGAGGGTTTATTACTGAATAAAACTAATTAAAATTCAAATACTTCACTTTTTAAAATTCCAAATTCAGTTGTCTTCATATGCAAACCAGTTTAGTCAATTTCTACCTAGGTTACTAATAATTTCGGGATGGACTTTACACACAATCTTACACAGATGTACGAGTAGCTGGTACAAACAGCACTTTGATACAGACAGGGCAGTGCAGGCCAATATTATTCCTTTCCATCATTCTATTCATTGTTTTGTCTATTCTTTGGTTTGACTCAACATCTGGTCACAGGAGGTGGTGCACAGAAGACCATACACCTACTGTGACTTTGAAAAGGAGAGTTCCCAGAATTTGGCCTTATTCCTCCCCTCTCTGGAGAGATACTCCCTCTTTCTCCCACACACAGAATCTTTTGATGGGTGCACAAACAAAACTTGGATCAGCGTTTATCCAAAAGGGATGTGAAGATCTGAATTATCCATAGTATGCATGCCAAGAGAATATAATCTCCCCTGTGTCTTCTTTTTATTTCTCATCTGTTCCTCTCTCTTCCTCCCAACAACCTCACCCTTTTTTCCCTCGACCATTCTCTCAAAAATCTTTCTTTTTATGTCTTTCTTTTTCCACTCCCCCTCTTAATCATTTCCCCTTGCTCTTGCTAATTTTCTCCCTTTACTGTCTTTATTCCACTTCACTTCCCTCTTGCTTTTTCTGGCTTTCATAACGTCTTCCTCCTTCTTCTCCCTCTGTCTAGCTGTTACAGGCTGCCTTGCAGAAAACCAATTCGTGTGTGCCCAGCCGGGTTTTACTACAGCCACCAAGTCTGCCAATGCATCCCCAACTACATGAGGCCTGAGTGGAATTAAGTGATCACAGACAGACAGTGGAGCAGAGCAGACTGCAGACACCACCATATTTCCCCCTGTTACCTGAGGCTTGCAACTTTTTGGCCTGAGAACAAAGGAGCAAGATGGTAGAAGTGCCGCTTCACAGGAGGGGCGGGAAGGTGCAACTACACATTGACATGTATTGGATTACAACAGACTACAAGTAGCAATTGGAGGAGTTCACTCTTGCAAAAAAAAAGCTACAAAGGAGGATGGTAGTGCTTCTCAGTGAAACAAAAAGTCCAAAACAGCCAACCATCTGCAGTAAAACCAGAAAAAAGAAGATGAAACGAGGAGATATTTGACTCTCTGGGACACTATCCGTCAGTGCCCATCTGCTGGCCTTCTTCCCTTTGCTTCACTGGAAACAACCAATCAAACCTGGAGACCGCCTGAAAGTGCAACAGCAAGAGTGGGATGGATCAATTGGACCCTGAGCAAGCATTAATCTCTGCTGCAACGTGTTTGAACAAGAACATCAACCACCAACCTGCCGCTCACGAGTGTGCGAAATGGAAAGTGGAATAAGATAATGACAGACCAGACTCCGTGTTTCTTCCTTGATAAAATAAGCTGTAGGCAACTTCACGCTTTGGCAGCACTGAGTCGTGAGGTATTTGAAAGGTTGAAGGATTTGTTTCGCAGAATTCATGTAATGTGATGATGCCGGGGCCTTTTAATCCCTCTTTTTAGTGGAGATGCAAATGATGGTCCATTCAAAGCACCAGAGACTATTTAAAAACTCTAGATTTTAATGTCGGTAAACAGATGGTGTCCCTTGTGTCTATAACGACAGGGATGGAGTGAATCTCAATCTCCAGTTTTGAAGCTGAGTTTTGTCTTTTTACATAAAAGTCTTTGCTGGTCCAATTTCCCTCATTTTTTATGAGAGTAGAGGTTTAATGCCAGAGCCTGTTTGATTAAACACTTATTTAAACACTCCCAACAGTTATTATATCTTCCAGTTTCTACTTGTCTCGACAGCAGAGCTGCTCTGTGAAGATTTCCTTCATACATGGTTGAATCCAGTCACAATGGATGTTAAGACTTGGATACAGTTCTAGGTCTGATTTTAATTTAACTTTAGACATTCTATGTAAAATATTTTGTAAATATTTAAATCTTTTTCATATTTAAAACAGTGATATTTTGATGAGATGGAATCATGTAGTTGTAAAATACTGTATTTAAGTCACTATCACAACTAAATATTGTTTTAAAAAGAAACTATTTACATGTCTTTGTACCCCAGTAATTTTAATTATTATGGAGAAATTGAATTATGTTTTTGTCCATTTTCCCTGCACTGCAAAAGTTTAATTTTAACTCGTCATTTAGACCCATTTGTTTAAAAAAATGATCTTCAAATCTCCACTAAATGTTAAGATGAAGATTTATTGCAGTGTAGAAATGATTGTACTGTTTGTGATATATGGATCCAGAAATTCTTTTATCATGCTATGATTAAATATTTAAGGTAGCTTTGAAGTATTGATTAAAAACCTTGTCAGACTGATGTTTGTGTCCCCGTTTTGTTCACGTTGAGTTAAAGCTACTGTATATTATAGTCACAATACTGAGAACCGAACACCCTTTAAATCACTTTATCATGTTAAGACAAAAAAATATATATATATCTTATACCAGACCAATTACGGCTTTAGCAGCAATACTCCTGAATGTAGTGATTTAAACAATGGTTTATTTTATTGCCTGTGAATTCAACTTTTCATTTGTAGGAGGAACTAGATGACACGGGTTAATCATTTGCCACTTCTCCTTTAAAAAACCAACTGCATGTAAATTCCCTGGTAACTTCATGAGAAAATGCCTACATTGTTCATGTTTCAAATGTAAACCCAGTGAAAAAGTATATCCACCCCTCAGCATGCACAGACACACACAGACACACACACCTGTGAGTGGAACTTGATTCTTCCTGTGGTCTCCCATTTCTTCTTATTCCTCCTCTTCAGCCGTCTCCCTTTCTCTCTGTCTGCCACAATAAACAATATTGACTCAGATGGATAACAGTGATCACCTTTCTGCCTGGCCCCCATGACCGTCTGTCTGTTGTACTGCCTCATCGCTTGTCTGTCTGCATCAGTAGCTGATTACAGTGACTAATGGCTGAACAGTAATGACTTACATCAAACCCAGAAAGCCTCAGCTACCTATAACATATTTAATCCATGACTGTGCTAAATCAAGAAATTATATGACTGAGACTGACTTCTCTCCTAACAAAGACAGGCAGAAATAGGATTTATTTCATAGCAGTATTACTACAGGCCATTCTCTAGGTGTTGTGCTCATATTGCAGCAGAATTACCCTGAAATGTCCGTGAAGTTTCAAGTCGAGCCTGAGGGTACAGTTGGTGGAAATCCAGGTCCCATGGGTGCAGCTGCAGGTTCAGCTCCTTTTTCAAATAAGAAAATGATTACATTTACAGTGCTGAAATTGCATTGATTGCATTCATTTGACAGGTATATTTCACATTTCAAATAGGCTTCAAAAGGGCTGCTAGCACTGACATGTAAGGATTTATTTTTTCAAAATGGCCTCTTGACAAATGGCAGTGTTTAAGATGATAATTTTCTATTCTGGATAAAAACATGGATTCTTTTATTGCTGCTACACACACTTGGCAGTAAGCTTCACGTGTTGGCTTGCAAACCTTTATATTGATAAGTTGACAGTGTGGCAAAGGTGAGGATTTATTGATCCGTCGCCTTGGGGTATAATTGAATTTTTTCTCTTCCTTTGCAGCGCATTGCTGTGTCTTATCTGTTGGCAGTGCACTCATGCGTTTTATTTCCTACTGTTGGAATACACTGCCAATTCCTCAGATAAAAGCATGCACTTCGCTGGTATATTTTGTACCATTGGAAGGCCAACAGAAGAGAATCCATTTGAAATAAGTTTTATTTTTTCAAGAACAAAATATAAACTTGGCTCCAACAACTCCTTATATAATAAGCCAGTGAAACTCTTCAAATATTTACAAAAGATAGAAAATAAATCATAAATAAATATAACCTGCTGCTGCTCATGAAAGACTGGTGCGGCCTCCCAGTAAAACTGTGGCAGTTTGACTGCCACATTTCTGTTTCTCTCTGAAGGAATCCCTAAAGACAACATTCACCCTAAAAGAGAAATCACAATGTTCCAATGGTCTTGGACAGTTCAAGATAAAAATGAAAAATCTATATTTAAGTGAGAAAATACAATATAAGACAGAATGTCAGCTGCTCCACCGACAGCAAATAATAGATAGAATATGATTAGTGACAGAATCCAGCAAAGTATCTCTGGGATACTGGCACATCTTGTGGTTGGAATTTGTTATTGCTAAAGGAAATACAGCTTGATGGATGTGTCCTGGAAGTGAAAGCATTTCTTGAGACTGTACAGTGATAAATACAGTGGAACAACTCTGTATGTATAAATCTGTCTGTTGCAAAAAAAGCAAACATTATCATCTTATGTTTAGCAAGAGGAAGAAAGAAATCTGATGAGGTGCTTGAAATGGGTGCACACTGACCCCTACTGGTTAGTCATAATGAGGACAAGCAGCTCAGTCCTAATCAACCCCACGGGGAACTTTGTATTAGAAATACAATTAGTATTTAAACAAGAATTATACATAAAAACTTCCCAAAGAAGACTTTGATACAGCAATCTTTCAACTTTCAAAGTTTAGACTACATTATGTTTTTAACCTTAGGATGTTAAAATAGCATGAAGTATTATTGTACAATTCCCATCACTTTGAGAGTTTAAGCAGAAAAAAGATTAACAGAATATCTTATGAGAAGAGTGCAAAAAGCAAACGATGTCATATTATGGCTTACTGATGTGAAAAATATGTATCCTAGTGAAAGCAGGAGCAGCCTTGTCATCTAGCGTCAGTTTTTTTTTTTTTTCACAGCTTTCAAGAGTCCAGTCTTTAAGCCACAATACTCAATCTCCATACCAGGTGAAGCAGCTGGAAACGACACAGCGGTTCCAGAGCAGGCACTTTAGTACTAGCTGTTCTGCTAACAGTCTGACTGGGATTCAGTTCAGTAGTCTTTTTACCGACTGGCTATTTGATGTGTCCCGGCCGCTCCCGGGCCTTGTGTTACAGGCACATGCTGCAGCAAAAGTCAGAAGACCCTCTCAGTTCCCGGTCTCCTTGGTTAACTCCTGATGCATGAGTCTTTGCCCAAAATCATGAACGAGTCATTCAGAGAGCAATCATCTGTTGAGGTATGATCCATCCAGGAGCTCCATGCAGGTCCACAGGTCACTCTATTATGCATCCCAGACAACAATCCATTTTGACTTAAATAGCCCTGTTCAACTGTTGCCTAAAACAGAAAAACACATGAAAAAGCATAATGACACAGTTGCAGATGATTTAACAATTTAAACTTCTGTGTTTGTATTATTTATGAGTGTACTGGCCTGAATATAAGACAATATTTTCTTCTGTAAATTTGACAAAGTGGGCGCTGTTTTATTTCGGGACCACACAATTACGTATTCACAGCTTAAGTTATATTTAAATGGAGAGATTATGAGTGTAACGCTAGCTACTACAGAGTGTATGGGTTGATTGTACCCTCACACTGTGTCTAAACAGGAGATGTGGCGTGAACAGAATGCTAGCAAAGCAGCAGCAGCTCCAGGTCGTTGGACCCAGTGAGGCCATTTCAGGGTGTTTTTGGAGGCTTTGTGAGGCCAAAACACAATCCCTGCAGTTGTGTGAATAAAACGCAGGAAAAATGACTTTAAGCATAAAAATACACTTTAGGTCGTGCAAGAGTAAATCACAAGCTGTTATGCAACGTGTGTAGAGCTAGACTAAAATAGGGCTGTATCTGTTCCATCAGACGGATGACTGAAAAACATGTAGACACAACACGCTAGTTTAAGTCTGTTTGTTGTGTGACTACAGTTCGTAGGCCCAACAAGTGTTTAGCCCAGTTGAATCTACAGGAGAAATAAATTCCTCACGAATAAAAGAAAAATTAGTCGGAAGCGCACCTGAACGACAAAGAAAATCTTACCAGCTGCTTCCGAGAGCCTGACAGGAGAGTGTGTGAGTATGTGACTTATGAACAAGTTTCTGTTTCACTTTACCAGAGAAAAGAAAAAAGTATGTGCTTATCCTTGGGCTAATTTTATTTTTTCTCAGCACCACTGATGGTATTTCGGACAAGGAGATGGTTGTTTTTTTGTCATGGTTGTCTTGTATTCAGATCAATACGATATTCTTAATGTCTAAGTGTGGTGTATTGACATTTTCAATTTGAACTATTTAACAATAAAGGCTTCAGACTCACCCTCGTCGTCAGAGTCAAACCCAAAGAGGTTTGAGCACTTCTGCAGCTGGAGATGACTCTGCAGATCCTCAGCACTGTTAAAAGTAGCAAAACAATTGGCACATCGTTGTCTCTGCAGAGTTGCTGGAACAGGAGTCTGCCCAGCGGGGGGACTTCTCTGATACGGCTGGAAAAGTGACATCTCCTTCCTCCGTTTTGGCATGGTGATGTACTTCTCATCAAGGTAAGCTGTAGGTGGCAGTCGCATGTATGGCCTCTTACTATATTTGGCAAGAGAGTCCTTACACATTGTAGATTTTAAATCTTCACTTGCCGCTTGTCCATTCATTATAACACAGTTACCAGAGCTGCTAACTGCAGATTGTGGTGTTTCCGCTGAAGTTTTTCCCTCCTCCATCTCTGCTTTGGCCTCAGTGGGTGGTTGGACTTCAGTTTTTGATTTTGCAGGCTTCTTAGATGCTGGTGGAACACCCTTATCTTTACATTTTTTCTTGACTATCTTTGTGTCACCTTCTTTATGAATATTCTTGCGCTTCTTATTTGCTTTATTGGGGTCAGGTTTTTTCATATCATTAGATTTCTTTGATTTTTTTGTTACTTTCTGCGTTTTCTCTTCAGTGGCAGTGGATGGAGAAGTCTTTGCATTTAAGCTGCTGGTAACAGCAAGCATGGAGGGACCAGAGCTGTCAAGTGTTGCATCTGAGGCTTCTTCCTTAACTTTTCCCTCCTCATCAAGAGTGCTCTTCGCTAATGCTGCAGCTGTTTTGGTCTCATCCTGTTGTTGGACTATGGATTTTGACTTGGCAGTCTTTTTCAAGGCAGATGTTTTTCCCAGGTCACTGCATGGCCGTTTTTTCTTGACTGTCTTTTTGTCCCCCTTTTTATCACTATCTTTGTGCTTCTTATTTGCCTTGCCTGAGTTTGAAGAAGCAGTTTTAGCATTCTTTTCTTTATGTCTCTCTTTTTTCATGGTGTGTGATTTCTTTTCCTCTGTTGTTACCTTCTGTGTTTTTTGTCCTGATGTGGTGGGTGGTGAGGCTCCCTCATTTAAGCTGTTGGGTGGTGCAGTTGCTTCATTTAAAATGTTTGCTGTAGCAGCAGGCACTGTGTTACCAGTGCTGTTTTGTGTTGAGTCCATGTTTTCTGCCTTTGCTTTTCCATCCTCCTCAGCAGAATTTTCTACTACAACTGCTGCTGCTTTGGCTTCAACTTGTGGGACAGCAGATCTTGCCTTGGCGGTCTTCTTTGAGGTGGACTCTTGTTCTTTGAGGGGATATTTTTTCTTGACAGTCTTCGTGCTGACTTTGTTATTTGTAACCTTGTGCTTCTTTGACTTGCTGAGGTCTGACTCAGTTTGGCTACCATTTTCTTTAGGAGAGGAGCGCTTTTTTGCTTTGTGCACTTTATTTATTTTGTCAGTGGTCACCTTCTGTGTTTTGTCTGCTGTGGTGGGGATGACTGATTGATTTAAACTGTTATCTGTTGCAACAACTGTAGAGGTGTTATGCGAGGCCCCCTTTTGTTTAACATGACTCTTTTTCACTGATTTCTTAGTCTTTGATTCATCAACTGGTCTGTCTGTAGTTCTGACTACATTTTGGTCCTGCTTGCTCTTTTCTTCTTCTGCTGCTAACCTGTTGCTCACATTTGAGTCCTCTGCTGCTTTAGGTGCACTTCCAAGTTGAGTAGGCCGCTTCGAATCCTTTTGTGAACCAGTTTTTTCTTTGTCAGTGTCACTGTTTTGACCAGTGGAAGTGTTTTCATCATGCACAGTTTTCTTTGATTTAGGAGGACGACCTCTTCTTGCAGGACCTTTTGCATTTACCTTGATCTGCTTTTTCTTAAACTTCTGCCTCACTTTGCTGTTGTGTTTTAACAATGATGATGAGATGACTTTGTGGGTTTTGGGAGCTGCCAGTGTTGTATTAGTTACTTGCCCTTTTCTTAACGTCTGCCTTACTCTCAGATTAGGAACAGTAGGCTGTGCAGAGGTGTCTTTGTTGGAGAGATTCTTTAAGACATTTGAATCCTTTCCTGAATCCTCATTTCTCTCCTTCAACTCCGTTTCCAACACAGATGTTCTGACATTGGAGAGAGGAGGAGCCTTAATGTGTTTTCTTGATGACGAGTTATGTGTAGCCTTTCCTCTTAACTTACGAGCAGCCTTTAAACTCACAGTCTTATTTACAGAAGTAGCATCTTTTGGCTTATGATCCCCAATTTCTGCACCAGTTTGCTCTTTTGTGACCTTGTCTGGTTTTGTGGGTTTGGATGCATAATGCTCTTTTTCATGAAGGTTTAGTGCCCAGAGACAAATAAATAGTTGAGAACAACCAGGGAGGCAGCACACTGCCTGCAGCGGACTGTGCCTCCGGGCGTGGCGTCTCATTTCCATTCCGGTTTTGAACCTGGCAGTACAGCCCTGATGAAGGCAAGGATGCCGAGGAGTGATTCTGTGTCTTTCAACATGGTGCTGAAAATGTTCGAAACTCCACAAAACCCTCATGCAAATAGAACATCTACCGTTTCCGACACGGAAAGCCAGTTCTAAGGGTTTGAGCTCACCATTGTGATCTTCCAGAGCATGGTAAAGGAGTGCAACACGGTTTTTCGATAAGTCTGTAAACCAAGCACATCCATCCACAGGACAGCAAACTTTCTCTTCGACATCTTTCCCAATTTGTTTTGTGGCTGTTGTTTTGTGGACTGTCTCCTTCATTTTATCTTTAGTGGAACAACCAAACTCTTTCTCTACCTGAACTGAAGATGCAGAGGAGTACATCTCTACATGTTGGTTTTCTGGCAGCTCAGGATTCTCAGATCCATTACTTGTTCTTGCTTGGGAGATCTCCTGCTGCATAAGCGGCTGCTTGGCTTCCAAGTCCTTTTTCACTGTGTCGACCTCTTTCTTTTTGCCAACATGCCCATTTACCTTATGAACAGGAGTTTCTCTGTTAAGGTGCTTTGATGTGTTTTGTTTCTTTTCTTGTAAAAGCTGACCATCCACTGGCTTGTCATTAGATCTTAACTTTCTGGATTCAGGTGGGCTTGAATCAGAAGACAGAGCAGATTTCTTTGATCTCCCACTACTACGACGACCTTTGGCAGAGGTTTTAGGTGTGGAAATATCTTTGGACTCTGAGACCCTGTTTTCTTGGACTTTGTTACCAGCTGACTCTTTGCTCTTCTTTAGCTTTTCTATATGATCAGAAAGGTGCATCATGGCCAGGAGGTCATCTTTGAACATCGTGCCACAGAACATGCACTCGTCTTTACGATAATGGAACATTGCATGTGCTACAACACGACTTCCCTTAAAGACCTTGTTGCAGAAGGTACAACAGAACTCCAACTTGGATTCCTCTGATTCTGGTGGTGTTTCCATAGCCTCACTGTTCTCAGGTGTTTCCAGAGCAATATCGTGAATTCCTCCTTTCACTTTCCTCAGTTGCATATCAGCAACTGCGGAGGCCTCCCATTCTGGTACAGAGCAGCTGGAGGGAATCCGTACTTTGTGAGGTACTTTAGGTTTACCTCCCGCTGTTGACTCCTTGGAAGCACTGTTCTCTGGAGCTCGCCGCTTTTCATTCTCACAATCTCGAGCAAGTGCCTCAGGCGCAAGTTCAGTAACCATTTCTGTTACTAATGTCAGAGCAGATATGTCATTTATACTGTCCTGGTCTGTTGGTGAATAAGTAGCCTGAGTCTCTGATACCTTACTTAGAGTGACAATATTTCCTCTGGGGCTTGTGTCCTTTTCACAAGGAACATGTCCTCTCGAGTCTTTGGATAAATCCTCTGTGACATCCGCCTCAGCAATGCTGTTGCTGACTGTGGTGAGCACCTCTGTGTGAGTGTCTGCTTTTTCTTGGGCCACAGGAATTTTACCAGTTTCAGCCTGAAGGGAAAGTGACTTGAGTTCTTGTTCCCCATATATGAGAACATCGTGGGAGTGAGAGGCTGTGGGATCTGCAGCGCCAATGTTAGCTGTATTGGAGCCTGGAGGGATTTTATCAGTAACTATCTTCTGATTGTTGTCTTCAGTTGTGGTCTGCGACACCTCGGCTGAAGCTGTAGTTTTTGAGAGGTCTTCTACAGTTTGAGCTTTAGAGGCTTTATCTAACCTTGTATCACTCTGTGTCACTTTACCTGCTGCTGGGGTTTGTGAGGCAATAGTTACTTTCATTTCAACAGCAGGTTCTTCGCAGAGCTCTGTTGATGAAGCTGCGGTTTGAGCTTGCAGGACCTTATCTAACCTTGGGGCTTCTGTCACATCAGCTGCATTCTGTGATGCAGTGGTAGCTTTCATTTCAGCAGACTTTTCATGGAGCTCTCTTGATGAAGTAATGGAATGCAAGACTTTTGCTTTGCTTGGAGGTTGAGGGACCTTGTCTAAAACCTGGGGTTTTGTCAGTTTTGCTGCTGCTGGTGTCTGTGGAGCAACAGTAACTTTCATTTCAACAGAAGACTTTACAGAGAGCTCTCTTGCTGCAGATGCCTTTCGTGAGACTGCTTTTGTAGTTTGAGCTTGAGGGACTTTTTCTAAAACTGGAGATGCTGTAACTTCAGCTTCTGTTGGTGTCTGAGAAGAAACTCTGCCTTTCATCTCAGGTTTTTCACAGAGCTCTCTTAGTGGATCTTTAGGAGGACTTCCCTGCACAGAGGAGCGTGTGATTGTTGACACTGAGCCGTGAACATTCGACCCATTACCTTTCCCTTTCTGCCGCCGAGCATAACAGTGCAACTGTTGTACAAACATTGCTGCATCCCGTGCTCTAAGAATAACCTCTTTGCGATGTACAGTCTTCACAGGTTGTGATGTGACAGGAAGCTTCACTGTGGGTTTGTAAAGAAGCACTTGGGGGAAGCCTCTCTGTCTGTTGCAAGTGTCCTCAGTAAACGTACCCATCAGTTCATTGTCTGGTAAGGAGAGCTCAAGAATTACTTGTGGAGGGGTGGCTTGTTTAAGACAGTCCAAAGACAATTCTCTCTGGTGCTTGTTGTTTTCCCTTGCCTTTAAATGAGAGTGTACTGAAGATTTGAGTTTTGCATTATTCTTGATCTGACCAGTTTCAGATCTCTTTACAACAGGAGACTGATGATCGTGTTTTTGATGTTTCAACCCATGCTTTTTGATCTTCAGAGGAGCACTGTTCTCTTCAAGAGTTCCTGAGTCTGCCAGAAGCCACTTGGGTTTCCTAATTCTCCGTTTTGGGGGGTTCTTCTCTGAGAGTCGTGTAGTGCGTCTATGTTGTCCATACCCAATGGCGACATTGTCCTCTATTCTGTCGAGCTGCCAAAATGAACGCCTCAAAGGTTCAGATGAAGTTTCCTTCAAAGGTCTTGATCCTTGGGTGCCTTTCTTCTTTACATCAAGATTTAGTCGTGTTTTGCCTGGGCCCACTTTCAGTCTTTTGGATGCTGTGTCAGTGTCATCTTTATGATGTCTGTCCTCTTTATGGTGCCGCTTCTTTGCTGCTGCCCCTTTACTGCCTTTCTGACATAATGATGTGCTTGACCGGAAACCAAGCTCTTTGGTGCAATAGTTGTGGATCCATTTGTCCTCCATGATTTCTTCAAGGGCAGCACTAACCACTTTCTCACTCATCAACTTCAAACAATTGGTCCGCAAAGCAATGAGGTTCCAAAACTCTGGGTCAAAATAGAGGTCTTTCTTCAAGACCTGAGGAGAGACAGAAAAGAAAATGTTTTAGCACAACAATATGGAAAAAATAGCAAGCAACAATGTTATGTACCAATTCTGTACTGGTCATCTGAACTGACTGAGAAACCCAAAATATGCTTTTCCTCTCATGTGATTTGTAACAAAGAAGCTCTACCTGAAGCATTTCAAAGCGAACATGATTTCCGATGGGATTGTTCTCCACGTGGTACTCCTGATCAGGATGCATGTAAAGAAGGTACACCATCTTGTAGGCCTCAACAGTGCGTTCGAGGAAGAAGACGAGAAGAGCACATGCCCGGGAAACCTCCAGGTCATTGGGAAGCAGGCCAGCAATGGTTTTGTAGATTAGGGACTTGGTAATGACATCACAGGGAAGGCAAGACTCCAGGGCATTAGCACAAAGCTCCACGCAGAACTGGATACCATCTTCACCCAGCTAGCAAGTTACAAACAAAGGAACTGATGAGATCCTAAAATCTTAATAATTCAACTCATATTATAAAAAAATATCAGCTTATAAATATGCACTTCATTTCAAATTTCTGTCTCACCTCTTGCAGTATGGCTCTGATGAATGGGAAGATTGAGTTGACATTAGTGGCAGACAGCATCAGCTGATGACTCTCCTCAAGTAGAGCATCCTTGGATGTATTCAACCGACTATGAAGTTTACTCCATATAAAGACAAGATCACTGCAAAAAACAGAGTGAATGATTGTTCTTAATGCTTGGCAGCTATGATTTTTGTAGAAATTAGAAACCCCTAAATAGACCTCAGTTGATGTTATACACTGACATCTTATTACATTAGAATCAAATTTTAAGTTTAGTTACCACAGATAGTACATATCTCCCCTGCGGAGCTGCTGGAAGAGGAAGGATCTGCTGAGGGCTAGCAGCAGGTCGTCTTTTTCCTCACACTCCAAACTACAGATGATGTGAACTGCATCTTTACCATTAAAGTCATCCATCTGAAAGGACAGGAAAATCAGAAAATCACAGGTACTATCAGTTTAGCCCAAAAGATAGTTCTCATAAATATAGTGAACATGTGGTCTACTTATGTCGCATCCAAGCAAAATTCAGACAGAAAAATTCTCGCCAGTTGACTGAAAGACGCGCTACTTTTATGCTTACAACGGTGACTCAACCCACCTCTTTACGTAGGCGGTCATGCTGTGACGTTTTGTAAAGCCACGTGAGGTAGACCTGGAGGAAGAACAAGTGTTGTCCTGCTGTGGGATGCCGAGCACAACACTTAGCCAGGGCCATGGCCTCACTGACCCGCTCGCAGGATAAAAGGTAGCGCACCCGAAGCTCGAAGAACACCGGCAGCTCAGAGCTGATGCACCCATCCACTACAGAAAGGCCAAGTCACAAGAGAGACAAATTAATGCTGCAAACATTAGCAGTAATTACAAGGAACAACCAGAGATAATGGAGTCCAAATTTTAGAATATGACTCCGTATGAGACATTTAATGAAGATGAAAAGAATAAATTTGATATAAAAATGGTAAATGAACTGCTATGTGCTACAGCAGCTGAAATATTTTTTTTTAACTGAGATAAAGTGAAATTAAAACACTGAATGGACAGAGATGGCTTGTAGTTACATGTGGCTGACATGTTTCAGTGGTCAGAAAGTGTGAGATGAAGAGAGACAAAAAAACAATTTACTCTAACCTATAATGACAAATGACAACTGCAAATTAATGGTTTTAATGATTCTCCAAATCCACGGTTCAGGTCAGACCTTGATTTCTGAACCAGGGTGCGGTTCATGCCTTGTTTTTGTTTTTTTTAATCTTTGTTCCCATGCTGCTGACTTGAATGTGGCCAGGGCGTCTGCAATCTGAGAGTTATTATCCATCTTGAGCTAATTAAACTAGCCTTACTTTTACCGCAGGTGTGATCATTCGATCATGATTGGACCAAAATAGTCACATAACACATGCAGTTGGCAGACAATAAACTAGGTGTAATGTGTAACATTTACATAATATACGTCTTTCCCTATCTCTAAATAGAATTATAATTTTGTGATTTACATGTGTTATAGTGTTGATTATGAAATGAAAATGAGTTTTGTTTCATAAGTAATGTAATGAGAGCTTAACAGGCTCCACCTGCAGTGGGTTGGGGTTGGTTTCATCTTTCAGTATCGTGACACAAGATCATGGACGTTTCGATCATGGTTTCCGTCTCGCTTTCAGAATCATTATAACCCTACTACAAATGTTGAATCTTTTACCCACCTTCATTCTGAGGTAAACTGGACTCACTGAGGATTGCCTGTAAGACTGAGCTGGCCCAAGGCCCGCCACCCTGAACCAAACACTCCACCTGAAGTAAGTGAACATTCTGATAACTCGCAAGGGCCAAATGACATTCCTGGAAGAGGGACAAGGAACAAAAAAAACACTGATGTATTATGCTAGTACCAGTATTTTGAAATAAATTAAATTAAATTAACAATAATGCTCTGAACGGTTAGGTGTTCTGTGAAGAATGAAGAGCTGTAAAATGAAGTAATAAAATGTCTAATCTTTGATTCATCTGCACTTCAATCTCACCTGGAATGTAACAGTGAATTGTTTCAGTGGCTCCTGATGGAAGTCATCCAGGTCAAAGAACAGCAGCAACTCAAAAACACTCCTGTGACGACATCAGAAATCACTGGCCTCCATCAACAAATCCAACTTTTAAAACAGTGTAAACTAACTTTATACATATGAGCGGTTAGCCCAATTCACAGAAATTCAGTTGTTTATATGGATCTAAAGGCAGTGGTAGTGGAAAAAAGGCAGTGGAAAGCAGTTAATTGGGAAACTGAGGGAAACCCTGAGGGATAGAGGATGGAGGACAGAGAGTTTACGGATGGAGTAGGGTCAACAGCTGGCAGCATGCCAGGGGTTTTCCTGGCTCACAAATAGGTTTGTGTGAGCCAATGAACACAATCAACTTTCAATTCCATAAACATTGCCACCAACAGCCCAGAAAATGCTAGACCACTTCAGATGTGGCTGACAAATATATAAAAACAATATTTTTTTTCCTGTGTACTATGACACTGGTACTTGTTATTTTATAATACCTGTGTGTTTTATAAAGATAGTGTATATAGTTGATGCTTTGTTAATGTCTAGTGTGTATTTTTTCCTGGCAGTGTGTGATGTCTGCCAATTGCCTAATGGGCTGGAAAGAGTTAAGACTTACCCTAACTCTATTCATAAATAAACCAATGTCAAACTTGGATAGTGAAGCAGAATTTAACAAAGCAGTGATATGATCTTTCTGGCACTTCTCGCATTGAAAGTTTTGAAACTCAGAGATGGTGGCAGGAGGAGTTGAGATAGGAAAGCCTGGGGTTGTAGCTCTCTCAGTAGCACATTGTTCTGTTATCACCTACTAGAAATTCAGCAAGTTGTCTTTTGAGGTGTATCACAAGTTACACAATCATGTCTGGCACATGTTTATGTGACTGAACACCATGGGTGTCTATCACCTGCCTTCCACACTGAATAATAATGTAATAATAATAATAATAATAATAATGTAATACCCGAAACACTGTTGTTGTTTTAAAGCAGTAAATAAAATCTGTGGCTATTACTTTAGTGCGCAAAGACTGAAAGCCACCTCTTTGGGGAGGTCTGTGTACTCACAAGGCCAGACTACTGAGTGTGTGGAGCACATGATCACAGTTTGATGTGAAGGAAGTGGAGGCTCGAGCAAAGTAGCAGAGAGCTATCTCAAGGATCCTGAGCTGAGGCAGTGGCACCTGCCAGCGAGAAGTGTACTCCTCCACCAGCTGCACAGAGAAAAGGCGAAACAAAGATAAGTCAAAAACAAAATTACAAGGACAGTTAACAGTTTGTATCACTTAGCCTGTTTTAAGTTTGTGGTGATATTAGATGTTTTGACTGCAGTTATAGGCAAGCTGACGACATGTATTAGGCCTGGGGGAATTTATGCAGTGTAACCAATAAAAACCAGTTAGAGCTGCAACAATTAGTGAATCAACGCAATATGTAATTGGCAACTAGTTTGATTATCAATGTTTTATACCATTGCAAATGTAATATATTTGGGTTTTGGACTGTTTGCAAGGCTAGACAGGACATTTTAAGACTTCAAAATAAACAATTATAGAGAAAATAATCAGCAGGCTAACTGATAATGAAAAGATAGCTAGTTGTAGCCATACTACCAATACCTTCATTTTGTATAACATTAAAACCCAAGAGAAAACAGAAAGCTACCTAACTCACCGATTACCCTACAGCAAGTAACAATCATGAGTATGCCTGAGCCACATTTTTGTATTATATTGCACAAATGAAAACACTCATTGCACAGTGAATGCAGACCAGACACATCCATTATCTTAATGGGAACAGTTATGTCTGCAGCTTTCCCAATAGATACACTCTTACTACAATGCACAACTATGTAAGGGCCTGTCTGCAAACAAAATGTGGCATTTAGCGCTGCTTCACACAATATTTACAGTTGACCTGCAAGATCATTAAAATACAATGAGATTATATTGACATTTTATAATGTGCTTATACATGATGAAAATCCAAGACATCACTCTTGTGCACCACTGCAATCCCTTCAATGTTAACTGTCAACAATGTTATTTTCAGGCTTTTGTCTGATCTGTGTATCTTGTTTCCATCATCATCCATCGAAGCGTCACAACACTAGTTTGGCAGCTTAAACTGTGTTTATGTACTTAATTAAACTAAAATTTAAGTTTTAATGTACCGTCAGTAGCAAAATAAGAATTTATATGTTGGACTGTAGACTAGACTATTTTCCACTGTTAGTGAGTATGCTGTAACCTTATCTGTGAGTCTTATCTGATACAGTTGGATATTTACCTGCAATCCCCCCACAACTGACATTAAATGCACATTTACACGGTATAAACGTTAAACGTTATAATAGCATTATGACATTTTCAGGGTAGAAGGACATCTGGTTATCCATACTTCAACAAAACATGTTGTTGTTGAGGGTAAAGACAGCTCATTAAAAAATTTCGAAGTTGGGCTTTGTAGAAAACGCTTGATAATGCAGGCTACTAATCGCATAGCAACCTCTAGTTAGACAACAGCTACGAAGCTAACATATTCATTAGTAGTTAAATGGTTACAAACGCGTTGTTTGGCTGCAAAAAGTTACCCAGACGGTGGCTCAGTTTGGTAAACATTCAGTGTACTAACTAAGCTAACTTGCAGGCAAATTCTGGGCTAGGTGGCTCAAGCGAATAGCCGAGTTAGCTTGCTAGCTAGCTGTACAGTGAACAACCATTGTCAAGATATTAGTAATTTACTGAGTGGGACGCTTCGACAACATCAACTGAATCTGAGACTACATTATCGGACGTAATGTACAGAGGGCGTTACTGTAATGTAATTGTTTTTTCAGGCGAAAGCGAATAAGCTAGCTGCTAACGAGCCTAACTGCTAATGCTAGCCATGTAGCGTCCAGTTCTGGGGGAGGGGAGTCGGCTAACATATATGCTCCTATCTTCGACAACAAGCCTGTCACCAACTTCAGCCACGGCTCCTTACCTTGCAAAAGTCGGAGCAGAACGGTTTACTGTCGGCACGCAACTCATCACTTGAGTGGCGGCTTAACAAACTCTGTAATTGTGTCTCTAGCCCCTCTAACTCGTACACACTGCCCTCCTCCGCCATACTGCCTGTCTAGCCTTGCTCGTAGCAGCTACCACACAACATACATCTCCACGGTCAACGACTTGCATTGACAGCGCTGATTGGATACTGCTAACGCACAGGGGCTCGCTCCTTCATAACACCAGAGTACGCCGAAGGAGAGCTAATTAGGGCGGAGTCTTACATACACTGCTAATCAAACGACCCCAATTATGCCCCGCCGACACGGTGCTACGAGAAGACTATTACATGCGCCACAAACCACATGGCAAACACAAACACTGTGAGTTAATGACTGTTAATATTTGCGTTCACGTCCCATTGTACAAACTAGGAAATATGATTAATGCAGCTGTTAGAATGATTTTGGTGTAAAATTGTTATGAAGTATTTAACATAAATATAATTACTAATAATTTAGTCTAGATTTAGTGCAGATTTAGTCTATCTAGAATCACCCTAAAATGATTAAAACAGTAGTTCCCAGCAGTTGTTTTGAAAAGAAGAAAAACTGAAATTTTGATAAAGATTTGATTTAAAAAGATAAAAAAGAATAAACAAATATCAATAATAGAAACACATAGATTTCTTATCCTTATAATATTCTTGTGAGATTTAAGGGACATTGTTTAAAACTACCTAAGCAAGGCAAAACCTAAATACATTTCATGCTAAGATGTTTTTAAATGCTACTGTAGCATGGAAATTGCATTTGATGCTAAATATGTCCCTTTATAATAATAGTGCTCTGAAGATATAAAAAAATATCTCCTTGCCCTTCAGGAATGAAGGTATGAAGTGCAACTTTGCAATATTCTCTTTACAATAACCGGGAAGACTGTTTAGAGACTTTCTTTAAATTTTATTTAATCATACACATTCATGAAGGAAAAATGATGCAATAAAAAAATGTTTCTCCTAGACACAGCCAAGAGTAAATAGTCACTTTACACTTAATTCACAGACATTATGCTGAAACAGGAGAGGAAAATAATACATGATTGTTTTAAGAAATCTGATTATATTCCACATGTATTTCTTCTTGTGTACAAAGACACAAAGCACACAGTGAGTGACATTGGAAAGATCAAATGCTTATATACAGCAACTGTCTATTTGTCTTATCTTGATGAATGAGATGAATGTGGCTTTAATATTATTCTCTTATCTCTAATGTTTGATGGGTACACAAAGCTGCAGTGAATCAATCATGTTCTTTTCCGACAAATAAAACAGTAACACAGAGGCCTATATTCAAAACCCTGATACAAAACAAAAAGCTTTCTATAAGTTACAAACTTACAAAAGATTGCTTTGAACACTACAAGCAGATATAATAAATCATAATCAAATGCCTCAAATAAGTAATAACATAAAATGACTGAATGGCACAACATACTTTACTCATTATACTTTAAGACTTAAACATAAAAAAATGAATCAATATTTTTTTTAAATGGAAAAAATGCTAACTTCAATCAAAAACTTCCCATTTCTTATTTTTATTTTTTGCTACCTTTCAGACATGTCTATTCATCTTGTTATAGTAGTGAATGAAATATACAAGCGTGTCCTGTGTGTGTTTTAGTCTGCCAGTTCAATTCAGCTCGTCAGTTGACTCCGACATTGATCGCTCTCTCCTTTCCCGCCCTGTGACGAAGTTGAGCAGGTCGACGGCTGTCACCACGCCGAAAACCATCTGCTTCAGACTGGGAGAGCCGTCTGTCAAGTCTGGTGGAGGAGCAGAAGGGTTCAGAGGGTGTATTTGAGAGAACCACCACACTTTTATATTGTTTTCACAATGATCTGTGATGCCAAATTCAATGCTCAGAGATTAAAGATTAAGATTAAGATTAAAACTCTGTTGAAAAGTGGTTTTGTTTGAATAAAAACAAAACCTCTAAACAAAACCAGTTTAGTGTTTGGTTGTATGTAGGAAATGGGACCGATTCCACAGCAGGACTCTAAAAGGTCTCAACTGTATGGGCCTACTGCCTGTACACATCTTATGCAATTGGTAATAGTCTATTTAAAACTACAATCCAAAAAAAAGAAAGAACAGCATTAGTTCATTTTTTTGGCCACTTGGGGGCAGTAACCTACAGACCATATTGCTATATCATCACTTTCTGTTAGTGTGAGGAATGTTTAGCAAACAGTTGCCTATTTTCACATCCAGCAAATATGAAGCAAGAAACATCTGGATCCATGTGTCTGTCCATGTGATGAATTAAAGTCAAATAATCACTCTCTTTTAGCTACATTATGTTCACCAGCTGGTTACATTTGTGCCAAACTCTTTTTGTGCAGCTTGGACACAATCAAACTTGGCCAGTGGACTCATAAAATGTGTATAAAAGCAATAACACAATATTTAAAGGTCAGTCTGTGTCCATCTTTAATCTGACACTCCTCCGGTGGTCATTATAAAACAGCTGCTGAAGGGAAGAGGAAGCACATATAAATCCTGCAGCTTGAGAATTAATTTCATTCTGTGTCACTGACTTTTATTCAGTGATTCCACCGTGTAATGACGTCAGGTTGCACTTCATGTTCAGATCCAGAAAGTCTGAGTTTGCCAATATCTTATTAACCACTTTGAATCCTGGACCAAAAACACACAAACACTCTTTGGGATGCTCGCGCTTCAGCTGGACTTTGACACTCATGTATCAGAGAGGGATGATCAGCGGAAAGTCGAGCCCCTGAGCCAGACCGATGTTAGCTTAAAAATGCGGGTGTGGCAGAGTCCCGGGTTCATCAGCAGTCAACAGTGTGGCCTTGAGAAAGACACTGACCCCGCATGTGTACACTCAGTCTGAGTTGCTGAGGATAACAACACTGACCGATTGATTTATGGCATTTATGAGAATACATGTTATAAATCAAAGATATGACTGATTTATGCAATAATTAATTACGTTAATCTAAGCATTTAGAGTGACAGTTTTGTCATACCACCACACAGGGGTGCCAAAGTTCTGACTCAAGCAAGACACATAAACCAAGGAGGTGTGTGTGCATTTGCATGTTTGTGAAAATGCTGTAGTACTTACATTGGATCTGTTCATGTACCACCAGCGCAAAGTGGTCAGTCTCCAGAATGCGGGATAGCTTTCCTAAATTGTCAGTGAGACGGATCTGTGAATGGAAATGAGGGAATGTGTTGAGATTGCTAAGAGGTGAATAAATTCATCATTAACATGTTATCAAAAAAATCTAAGTAGCACATGCACAAGGGGGCTATTATTTATCTGGTGAGATGGAAATGTATCAAAGTTGTCAAATATGCTTTTAACAGAAAATACTCTGTAATGCTGATATACTTTTTTTCATAATCAGCCAAAAGAATTTCATGAATACAGATTTTTAAAATACATACTTTCAAATCTTTTACTGAACTCCATTAAACGTATCACAGCTGAACCTGGTCTTGTCTCATATCCTGACTTGCTGAAATCTCTCTAGTCAAGTCAGTTCAGAGCCTTTTCACCTGGAGATGCTCCCCTGAACTGGTCTGCCTCATTGGCTCCTGCTCTCAGCCAATCAGAATTAAGAATTTAGTCTTCAAATTCAGCCTATAACTTGTATGAAAAACACCACGAGGGGATCTCTTTGTCACATTTGGACATTTCCCTGAATGCAGCAGCCATGAACAGACATGTTTTATTTAGTGTCTGACCTGTTTGAACTGCTTGTAGAGCACTTTGCTGACCGGGTCCGACAGCTTGATCTTTCCTGCCAGAATCGAGGCCAACATGTTCCCCAAAGTCACCATGCCCAGGATTAGCCTGCACACACAAACACACACACACACACAGGGGTTGAAGTTAAACCTTTGATACTGTGATACAACACAATAGGACCAAACATGATCCAGACCTGCAGTATTTCAGCGTGACACTCACCCGGCCTCATCCACCACAGGCGCCTGGTCGAAGCCCTTCTCCTTGAGGATTTTGATTGTCTTCTGACAGGTGACGGTTGGCAGGACGGTGAGGGGGGCGGACAGGTTCAGACCCTGCAGCTTCAGGTTCCACCACCTGACAGACGCAGAGGAATGAGAGGGTTTCACACAACCACACCCACACACACACACACACACACAGACAGAGGAAAATAGAGAATAAAGCCTTTCATCACACATACCATGGTTTCTTCACCATGAGGTCCTCCTCCCTCAGGAAGCCCTTGTCTACCATCCACTTGTCACTCAGGAACTTGGACCTTGAGGGTGAGAAATAGAGATAGTTTTTAAACAATGAGTACAAACTAAATCAAGTATTTGCAGCCACAGTCAAATTTCATGTCGCCTCTAGTGAGTGTCTTACAAAACAGATTTTCTAATGCACAGTGCGCTGGGAAATGTGCTGCCAAAACTGTCAAAGAGGAAGAAGAATGCTGCAATTTTCCTCAAGAAACTAAACCCCAAACGCGATTCGACAGCAGGAATGTGTCAGAATGTGACACGAAATGTTTTTTTTTTTCTTTTTGAGCTGAAGATGATGAATTAAAGAATGCATCATCTGGTTATTTGGATGTGGGATTCTCACATGTAGTTGCGGATGGAGTCGGGCAGGATGACCACACAGCGTTGGCCCTCCTTCAGCTCTTGGGCCACGTTCACCGCTGCTGCCATGGCCGTTCCAGAGCTGCCTCCTGTTAGAGCAAAGAGCAGGAAGCTGAGTTGGCTTTTCCTCACACAGTCGGAAAGTTGGTGTCGGTGTTTGCACGGAGCACTTACCACACAGCAGGCCCTCATCTCTAATCAGCATACGAGACATGTTGAAAGACTCCTCATCATTGGACTTGTACCAGGTATCAATCACCTGGAAAAAATTTTAAAATTAATGGTTGTGAGTCAGGTAAACAAAAGAAAAGGAAGTAAGGGGGGGACAGTTCCTGGAACTCACTGATCTGTCGAGCACGGTGGGGATGAAGTCGTACCCGATGCCCTCTACCTCATACTGGGTTTTATCGGTCTTGTTAAGCTCATCAGGCTCAGCCAGGATGGAGCCCTCTGGGTCGACTCCAACAATCTGCACACAACACACACCATTCATAAGTGGCTCAGCAGTTATTCCACTTCAGACACTTTCAGCCAAGGCTAGAGTGAGTATGAAATTAATCACAAAAGCTGTGCTACTTTCAGACTCAGGAGCATAATCTTAGAAAAAACACTGACTTGTCCTCTTTGACTTCTGGACAGAGACAACTTACTTTGATGTTGGGGCATCTTTCCTTCAGTTTGCGGGCGATACCTGTGATCGTCCCCCCTGTGCCTGCTCCTGCCACCAGCATGTCGATTTTACCTGTTAAAAAAATAAAGATATGAAGAATTTTCTTGATTGTTTGTCGAGCAAATCTGGTTTCTGCTGAGAGTTGTGAGCAAAGTCAAAGCTATGTCAAAGGTATTGATTTGTATTATATGGTCAAAGATCTTTGTACCATCGCACTGCTCCAGGATCTCTTCAGCTGTGGTGTCGTAGTGAGCCAGTGGGTTGCTGGGGTTACGGTACTGATCCAGGATGTGGGAGTTGGGGATCTCGTTCTTGAGGCGCCAGGCAACGCCCACGTGGGACTCTGGCGAATCAAAGCGGGCGCTGGTGGGTGTGCGGACAATCTCGGCTCCGAGAGCTCTCAGGACATCCACCTGCACAAAAAAACACCAAACAACCAGGAAAAACAGTCAACAATCTATTGTTGTACGACTTCAGATTTGGCCTGTTAAGTTGTACCATAATTTTGCCAGATACTAGGTAAGCTCCATATGCACATAGATGTGCAGCATGTGTCATTTAAGGATTATATACCAAGACCCTGTACAATCACTGTGGCAGGAAGGTTTGGACAGCCTCTCCATCTCCACCATGAACAAAATACTGAAGTTCAAATGCAGCTTGTAATGAACATAAGCACTTGAGAGGCTTGATACACCTGCTGAAATAGAGTCAAACCTACTACTAAACAGGTGCACTTCACCTGTGTTGAAAAGGGCAGGTAATAAAGACAAAGAAAGACTCATTTCTGCAAGTTTTAACTTCAACTAACTGACTGAAAAAACATGTTCCGTTATCAGGCTTCCATGTGGGCATTGAGGTTAAACCATAAAGGCTTTGAAAATGAGTCAGCAGCTTTCTGAATTCATTAGTTGAAAATAAAATTTACATTTAAAGACAAAAGATGACTCCTACACCGTTTTTACCATTTGTCTAGGGGACATGAACGCACCACAAGAGAATGAGAGTCAAAAATAATCAAATAGAAATATGCCAGTTCGGGGAATTGCTAGCAAGTGTGTCCCCCCTTTGACAGAGTGATAGTTTCATTCTGATAGAGAACTCACCTTCTCCATGCTCATTTTCTCAGGCATGACAATGATGCAGCGGTAGCCTTTCACAGCTGCAGCCAGGGCCAGTCCAATACCTTAACACACATATACGAGCACATTTTATAACGCTGCTGCTCAACACCTTTAAATACCATTCCTCGTAGACACGCATACATTCCTGAGTAGAAACACATGCAGTTAATTACCAGTGTTTCCAGAGGTTGGCTCTATAATGGTGTCTCCAGGCTTGAGGATCCCGTTTCTCTCAGCGTCCTCCACCATCCGCAGGCTGATCCTGTCCTTGACACTGCCGCCAGCGTTGAAGAACTCACACTTGGCCACTAAAAAAAATACACAACGGAAACATTTGTTTCAGTGTCACATTAAAAAGGCATTTTGATAAGAGATGATCCAAAAAATGAAATACTGAAATGCAATCGATGCTGAAATGCCTTCCATTCATAAGTGAATCATATTCTGAGCTGGAACATTTGTAACATCTCTCGCCTCCCTACTCACAAGTTTACAAGTTGTCAATGAGTGAAATTGTACTAACAGTCACACCTTCGGCCTTATCTGAGAATGTGTCTTGGCTTGAGTGCTTGATTGCTTGAGTGACTCACATATTTCACATTTGAGTCCAAACGCTTTGGGGATCTTGTTGATGCGTACCAAGGGAGTGTCACCGATCCTGTGCAGGATGTTTGGGAGGATGGTCGGAGCAACAGCTCTGAGAGGAGAGAGAGAGGGGGTTTCAGCACTGTCTGTGCATGTGGATACACGGCAAAGTTAATCACATCAACATCACTCGTTGTTTTAACTTGTCGAGACTAGTGTGGGGTAATAACAGTTGCTGCCACTTGTTTCTCTGGTTTGAGGAGTCTTTTAAAAACAAGTGTTTATGTGTCAAGTGTCACTTCTCAGTTATGTGTTACAGCTGGGTTTCACTGGTTTAAACAAACAATGGTAACTGCCATCTGTACAATAAGTTCCAAACAAGTGTTGTTTGGTCAAGCTGGATTTTTCACTGCAAATCAAAACAGTTTCATGTGTCACAGCGTTAGAGCCTTGAACATCACACTGACCTTGGAACTCGTGTGTGAGGAGAGTCGGCGTTCGAGGCTCCCAGGCTCCATTTGCAGCGGCTGGGAAGGTCGGGCCGGATCCATTTCCTCTCGGGAGAAGTGTTATTTGTGTTGATCTGAATGGTTCGGGCCGTCTCTTGGGTGTCCCCTACCTTGGGTAGCTTGTCAACCCCGTTCAGTGGGAAGGAGCCCTCCCGGAGTTTGGCTTCTCCGTTGGTGTGGTTGTGCAGCTTGGCAGCGTGGGGGCACACTGGGCCATTGACAGTGGTCTCTTTGGTTGAGGGAACTGACGGCATGGTTTAGCCTGGAAAACACAGAGGAAACAGGATTATGTAGTTACCTGTGACATTTTCTCCATATAGATAAGATTGCTCCTTAAGGTATCCAGGACTGATGTATCAGAAAATTAACAGAAAATTTCATGAAAAAGACAACTTTTTCAACTTCTTCATTAAAGATACAAACAGTCAAAATGTACATTAAATTTAATTCTAACTATATTGTTACATAACACAATAAAAGCAAAAACCCAACACTGAACCACTCCTTTCTTCCATAAATGCTGAGTCATTACCAGCACCGGCAAAGCTCTGTCATGCTGGGAAATTTGGCAGTGCACTTTGCTGTTGTTACACCCCCCCCACCCCCCCACCCCCGCCCATTGCAGGTGTCACACCTACACATATTCATTATTACTTGACATTTCACCTAGTCATGATGAGCAAATGATCATGCTGTAATTACAGAAATTGAGAGTAATGGGGAAGGAGGACTGACTGGCTGCTCAAGTTGTAGTTAGTATTGCATCATTCCTACACTATAGAAAAAGGAACAGTGACATTTCTTAAGAAGGTGATGGGCGCTACATTTCTGAAGAGGAAAAGAGATGAAATGTGCAGGCAATGTGCCTCGGATTATCTTTGTTTGTGAATGTAAAACTAAAGTGGCTCAATCATTGGTTGTTACCAGCTGTAAAATGTTGTAAAAGTTGCAAATGTGTAACTAAATGTTAACTGAAATTCAGTACTGCGAGGCGATAAATAGTACCAGTCTGTGTGGTCCAAAGAGGGGCTCTAAGGTGGGTCAGTGACTTTAAGACAAGCTAAAGAATAAACATCAAAATTGTAGAAAGGTTGATATTAGTTTCAGTAATAAAAGCCGCCCAGAACAGGAGCAGACAGTTCGTCTTGCAGGTATAGACCTAAGGTTTGGCAAACAACGAGGACTGAAAATAGATAGTGACAGATTGTGATGGGCCTTTTCACCAATTACTGGCATTTTAATGATCAATTATTTAATGCATTAATTGAAAAAATAATGTGCAGATTATTCACTAATGAAAATAATCAGCTGCAGCCCTACAGACAATATTTTTTCACAACAACAAAAAATCTGCTGCCTCCCATCCTTTAGCCTATCAGCATCTCTGTTTGACGTGTTAGCTCATCCGTTAGGTTTCTCCACCATCCAGCTCATATGAACCTTCACTAATACACAGTGCACACAGCGGGGCCAGCTGTTGAACCGGGGGCCCCTCTTTGACTCCACCATGAGTTCAGACAGTGTCCACACAGTAAACCAACTACATCTTCTTAAGCAAACAGCTCTGCATGGGAGAGAAATCTGGTCCAAGATATGCTGCTTTGGAGTTACAATCACACTTAAAAATAAGAAATGAACACAAGAATACATTTATACTTCCGTCTGTAATCCTTACGTAACTTTCATCAGCTATCGTTTTCGGTGCCTATCTGAAAGTGTAAGGTTTTAATCTCCTTTCCTGCCCACATTCAACGCTTGGTATCAGATGATCTCCGCATGCACTCTTAAGGTTACACTGGCGACAACGGCTGTGGAGAATGTGGGAAGAGAGTAGGTGATATGTGGGTTCAACAGGGCAACATGATCCTCCGTGAGAGCACATGCAGCCCGGAGTGCACGGCAGGAAAGACTTGAAAGAGGATTTAACGAGGAGAAACTTCAATTTGTTTAATACGCCACACTCAAGCCAAGAATCCAATCCTCAAATACCTAACAGGCTGAAGAAATACAGTGCAAAATCACCTGATCTGAGCCTGGCAACATCAAACCCAGTCAAATGAAAAATCCCTGTAACAATCTTACCATATCAGACTTGGTTATCTGCTTAAGTCGTGACATTTCTAATCTCCTTTGGTATGTACAGTGCTGTAGCCATTTTTTGTTTTAAATCTCAGCTTATTATAAATTGGCACAAGTGTTGCTCAGATCACTGCTCTACCAGCAACAAACACAACCAGGGTATCCGCTGGTCAACAGCACCAGAAGAGCAGCCTATAGATACTCACTCAGCCATAACAAATGGTCGGCCAAATGTGAACATCAGGAATGCTGGGCGTAGAAACACAATGTAAAACTGTGGACACATACACCTGATAATAGGCAGGTATCCTAATTATGATTACCTTTTAATTTACATGCAAATCACCATGTTTGACTTTATGGTGATGCTCACAGGTGTGTAATGATAACGATCATAAATACTGAAAAGATAGGTTTATAAATTGACAAGTATATAACAGCAACAATATTAGTAACAAGAATACTAACAATTCTTGTGTCATCATTCAAAGTGTCATCCTTTTTTTAGGATGAATAATCTTTTTCAAACATAAAATACCAAATTACCAAAGTTTCCAGGCTCTCAAATGTGCAAATGTGTTGCTTTCTTACATTATAGTAAAGAGTATTTTGGGGTCTGGAATGCGAAGATGACACCCTGTGCTCCAGGATACTATGATAAGCATTTTGCACTGGTTTCTGATGTTTTACAGACTGAAAATGTATCTACTAATCGGAAAATCTTTTGACATTTTAATTATTTGCAGTGGAGAACCAAAAATACCAAAAAATAAAACACTGTCAGTTTCTCTAATGTGAATTTTCGCAGGTTTTCTTAGCTATATATGAATAACTTCTTCTACTGGGACATTGGGACTGACATATCACTGTTGTTTGACATTAAATTGAGCGATTAATCGATAAAACAGTAGGTCACTTGATCGTTAGTTGCGGCCCTACATTGTCTACTATGTGCTTTAACGTCTAATAGATATGCAACAGGGAAGCTATATGACAGAATAAAAAAAGCTTAATTCAAATATTAAAGAATAAAACGGCAAAATTAAAACGAAATAAAAACTCTAAAGGAAATTACACACGATTCAGCACTGACCGGATGGATGACAAAAAATTGAAATACATACTCGTATAATTGACATTGTATAATTTCATAGAAATAAAACATATTTCGTTTATAGTCTGCAGCAATTAAACGAAAAAACCCCAAACCAAATTTGCTGACAAATAGCCTATCAAATATCTGCACTACGCAGTTTCAATATTGCATCAGACATCTGCATTCAGCCACCAAATGTGAAATACCACGTGTTTTAATGTATCTATTCTACGTTTCTTCAGCTAACGGTTCCTCTACTCGTCTGTCCCCACTCACCTGACGACTTTAATGCGGCCAGAAATCTGTAAGAAAATATATAAATAAACCACGGAGGACTCCGATGTACACAGCGACCCTGAACAACACCTCGGAGTGAACACCCTCCGACAAAGACAGCGGCTTTCGTGACGAAACACGTGGACCAAACGGGGAGGACGTGGTCAAAGTTTCACGGCATCCTCCCATTGGTTACGGCGAGGGCGTCTGTTTGTTCCACTCCACCAATCAGAGCGGAGATTTCTCAATAAGGGTTTGGGAAAACGCTGTGTTAAAGTTGTCTGTACCATCTGTTTACCTTTTATTGACCAAACACGTACTGCATGGGCTCCGACGCATGTGACATCTTGAACACTTCTCATGAGTGGATATTATTTTCAAAATGTTACTGATATGGAGACAAAAAAAAAAAAGTTTTTACAATATTTGAATACGCTTTTTAATTTTGTCAACATATCTTGGAGTTATGGTGATCTCAAACTACTTTTAACTATTATTAAATCTATTTTAAAACAGCTGTACTGTTTCTATCATTAAGGAATGTATGTGAACTTTGAAATAATACACATAATTGATAGATTTCCATACTTTTCTATGGCTTTACCTATCAGCCACTCCAGTTTTTTTTTTAAGAAGCAAGTATCCTTAAGTAACAACTTGGCAAAGCAGGCAGCAGATACCACAGACCGAGCCCAAGAGTCTCAGATTTACTGGGACATTTGATTGATTGCAAATATATATAGAATATCACCTCAGCTTCTCCCTGTCTTGGAGAGCTGACCTGTGTAAAAGTCTAACACTTTTTTTTTTTGTTTCAAATTGTCAAATTGTTCTAACATGCATATCCATATCAAATGACCTATTACATAAGTAACAAACAAATGACTGTTTCCAAAGAAAACATAAATGGGTGTAGGGGAAAGTCCCACACCAATGGCTGATTAAGCTTAGGTGAATATTGCATCAGTCAGTCAGTATAAAAAATAAAAAAGTTAGTAATGGAAAAAAGGCAACATATTTTACAAGTATGAATTAAGATACATTTGCAGCAATGTAATTATATCCATCTATTATTAATATTATATTTAAAGATTATTCCTGTGTTTTTGAGTCAGTACTTAAGTTTGTTATAATAAGTGTTATATAAGTTATAACCACAGGGTGACAGAACTGAGGAGGAGCTCATTATTGGGTATTTGACCTTTTGAAAATGATTTGGTGCCTATTCCACCTACTGTTTTTTTTAAGTACTCAGAAAAAAAGAATAAGATGCCTCCATGTCGTTTATCACTTAACATTTTGACCAAAATCTTGGCTCAATTTTTAATAATTCTGAGTAATGTCTTTCCATAAAGTCTCACCATGTAACTGCATTTGTTTTTAATGACTTGTGATGTAATCAGTGTTTTCCTTCTATAAAAAGGAGTCTACATAAGAAATAAACTAATGTTCTTTTAAGCAAGTGGTGCCAGTGCAGAGTTACAAATCTGTTTTATTGAGAAAGCGACACAAGCTCGTCTTAAAAAAAGGGAATAAAAGAAAAAACACTTCCAACAATTCACCAAAAAAGAAAATAACTTTGTCATCACTGCTGGGGTCAAGAGGGAGGGATTTGGTGGGACATTGGGACAGTCTTGGCTTCCTTCAGAATCGTCCAGAGCGCTCCCGATCCCTCGACCTCCGCCTTTCGCGGTCCCGTCGTCGATCCCTGGAGCGGGAGCGTCGTTCCCGGGAACGCGAGCGAGAGCGGTGCCTGGTGGGAGAAAAGACAAGATTCCTTTACAAATTCTAACTGATCCTCGAGTAGAAACATTCACTTTCAAGATTTCCGCACCTTTTCCTGCGGCGGCCGTATAGCTCCCTTCGAAGTTCCCGTGATATGGGTTTCAGGTGCATGAAGTTGCAGAAACCACCTCGGGTGCACTCTCTGTAGGAAAAGAGTACATGCTGGGTTAAAACTTGCTGACATTGCATTGTATTTGGTGGAGCAGTGCCACAAGGAAAAGGCTCTTAGTTACACATGCTGAGGAGCATGCCAGCATGCCAAAACATCTGATGATTTATCTCCCTCGTGTTCGTCCTATCACTGGCAGAGCAAACAACCCACGATCCAATGGAAAATCACTGAGAGACTCATAAAGGAGAGGAGCAGAAGTTTCCTCACACTGTGCAAGGACAAAGTTTATCACTGCATTTAAAAGAAAATGCGATAATTCCCACAGCGCCCATGCAGCTGCAGAATGAGTTCAGTGCTTTACTGGAGGATGATGACAAGCTGAATGCAGTCAACAGTGGACCCTCATCTAGCCGCAAGCATGGGGGCAAAAATGAGCTACTGGGCCCCATTTACCCCATGCTCACCCCAGTATCATGTCATACTGTGCTTCAGTGGTGCATATACTCAAACAAGATTTCAATTAAATGAGCACAGACCAATTTTAACAGAGTAAAGCCCGGAGCTTTCAGAGCCACTGATATTCTGGAGCCTCAGGCCAATTGCTTGCTTCACCCAGTTGGTAGCTTAGCTGCCGGGTGAACAGTGAAGCTTTATCGTGGATTGTCTAGCTCCAGACTTTCCTCCAATCTCAGCACCCTGCTGCCAATGCCACATACCTTTTTCTGCCTTCACCCAAAGCCCTTACACACACACACACACACACATGGCTTAGTATAAAATTGCTTGTAAAATATTCAAAATATTGTATTAAAGCACCCGGGTTAATGTTGATTGTGATTTTATGGCCAACAGCTACTGATAATTTAAATGTCATTACTGACAATGGTATGGCCCATCATCATGTAATTAAGAAATAAAATATTTTTTGAGTTATTGATAATGTAAAAATACCAAACATCTGCAGATTAAATCTCAGCTTCAAGAAGACTCGCTGCTTTCCTTTGTTGTTATAGACCAAGTAAAGAGAAAATGAGAAATCCTCTGCTCGGGTACAATGCAGGCAATGCATTCAAAAAATGTCAAAGCAATCAAGAATGAAGAAAACGGTCAGCCTTGCATCAGATTTCCAGGTGTTACTCACCCCATTTCATACTGGCGGCAGCACGCTTCCCTGAAGTCAGTGACGGGGGAGAGCTCTGCGTGGATGGGTTGACCATTGAACCAGCGGTTGTTCAGGTCCATGACTGCTTTCTCTGCATCCTCCTCACGACGAAACTACACACACAGGATGAGACATGAGCTTAGGGAATAACTGGTGGTAGCTAAAAGGACATAAATAAATTTAACGTCATGACAAAGCATCAACACTAAAAAAATAAACTGGGCAACAGAAGAATTGTGAATTAGAAATTAAAAATTAGAAATTAGTTTTTAAATCTGACATAAAATCTGACATGGCTGTTTTCATATCAGCCCATAATGATTTCAATTCAAGATCCCACTGAATTTAACAGCATTTATACCATCTTTTTAAATGGTTCCCCCTATTGTAAATATATTTAGATCCATCACCAACCTTAACGTAAACGTTGCCAACAAGGTGGTCGCCCAAGTTATCGCACACGTTCATCTCCTCCACCTCTCCATACTTCTCCTCCATCTCTGTGAACACCTCCTGTGATGAAAAGAAAGAGAGGAAAAGAACGATCAACCTGTCCAACAGGTTCTCATCCTTTATCTTGAGTTAAAATTAGCACCTGGTAACAAGGAAACTGTTCAACCACATCAGCTAACAGATCTCCTGTGGAGGTTACTTTTAGACGTTTGTTGGGTATCGAAGGAAACAAAAAAATAATAACAACATATATTAGTTAGGGACACTGTTAATGTGGAGTTGTTTGACAGTGAAGACAACTTGTCTTGCCAAAATACTTTATACTCTACAAACTGTATTAAATGTTTATAAGCAGCAATTCACTGCATGCCTTTCATTTCATAAGTTAACAGAGAGAAAACAGAAAATGAAATAAAGGAAATGGCCAATCAATTTTACTTTTAAACACTACCACAATCACAATTTCTTTTCTAATTTAGCAGACGTGAAATGTTTCCATTAGGGAAGCTGCGGCAAATTCCTGCTGTGTAAATATTGACTAAACTAATGCAGGATTCTTGATTCAGCAAAGCTGGGTACATTTTGGCAATGACATGTTGCACCTTTTGGCAACAAAGTGTTCCAAAAGGCGGACAACGCTGCTGTGACGTCATGTTCTGCAGTTTGTGGAATAAAGTAACAAGCACAAAAGGTCACTCACCTCGAAGAACTCATCGTAGTGCTCCTGCATTTCAACATCGCTGACGGCGCCTACAAAATGTCAACAAGGGACAGTTCAGGCAAAGCTAAACAAGTGTTGGGAGAAAAGTCTTTAAAACGGACTGTGTAATTCCTTTAAACAGACAAAACTAACTGCAGTAGCATGTAGCATGATGCTTCCTGGTATAATATAAATGTTACCTGTAAACATAGATCACAGAGGTAAGATTCTGTAAAATATTGGATGCTTTCTCATGTTAATTCGACCAGTTTCACAGAAGCAAAGTAAAAACTAGAGCTGACCCCTCTTGGTTTGGTAGAGTTTACTTTAAAATGACATTTGCCACTGTTTTTCCTTTTTGTGTAACTACATGTACATTATGTGCAGAGGGGCCATGACATAATACCAGATAATATTTAGGTTAACTCAACTTCAACTAGTTCATGATGACCCCCTGGCTAGGGAAGGAGGGTGTTGAGGACAGCACTACTAGAAACCTGCTTCCATGAATCAGAAGCAGGAATTGTATGCTCAGTGTGAAACTGTTAAGTGTAAAGGAAAGAGGAACAGTTAATTATAGCTTTTAAGTCTATCACAAGCAAAAATGAAGGATCTGAAACCAAAGCTGTTCTGTGCACATTACTGCACCACACTGACTCAGGTACTTTTGACTAAAGCCGGGGAAACATGCAAAACAGCATGAGGCCAGTTACTAACTCCAGGAAATGATGTGATGCCTTAAATGCCCCTAGAAGACATTTTCCTACACTAAGCCAGATTTATGTGGGGAGGTGTGACACAGTAAATCAGGTGGTCGGTGCTGGAGGGTCCTGCGGATGAAGGGAGAACTTACAGTGTAAACCATCAGCAGACTGGGCAGAGTTTTGAAGGTTATGAAGGTAAAT